TTGCGTGAATGTACAATGATATAAAAGAGAAGATTACAACATGGAATTGAAGCATGTGTCATAGAACTGAATTTTCTTGCAGGAAATAATAGTGATCCAATCACAATTAACTAGGTATTTCAATAATGAACAGAATCCCAATCCTCTTATTTATTTATTAATTTGAGTTCGTTACTTTATTTACTAACTTGTTTATTTATTTAATTCGTTTTACACAGGAACATCTAGATGACAAGAACATATAGATGACAAGAAATTTTCATAGTTTAATCATGGACACCTATAAAATTCCTTCACGTTAAGACCAAGCATGAGAAAGGTGATTAAAACGGCTTTAAAAGATATACAAACAGAAATGAGCACTACCCCGTGCCTTAAAAGAATCTACTTGATATCACTGACGTCCTAAAACTCGTAAATTCTTCTTTTTTAAATTCTTCGTTTTCTCTCGGAGGGCTGGGTAATAAGATCAAGATACTTACGCTCTCCTCAACGAGGATTTGGGGTTCTTTCCTCGGCTTACCCCGGCTTGGACGGATTAGAAATGGCGCGGAATAGGCCGCGTGCATGCATGCCCGCCAAATAAAAACCTTATATCCGTACGTCTATATCAAGATACCAAACCGCATTAAGAAACAGTCTATCCGATCAAAAACATAGCCTGAAATAACTCCAGCTTGAAAGACAGACAACGGTAAGGTAGTATTTAAGTCTAGAACAAAGTCGAAAAATTCTCAGAAAAAATATCCCCTTTGCCGTTGGTGTAAGGTAATGTGAAGCTCAGCTAGCTCAGCGTGGAACAGGGGAGATATCTTTTAAAAACTCGATGAAAGTGTTCTTGGATTTATAATTAAGGAATAAAGAATAGGGAGTAAAAAGTAAGTACGTGTAATTGTCTGTGATAATGTCTTCTTCTGATAGCTTTTAGTGAATGATGTATATTTCTTGATGAGAACTGTTCTACTAGAATTACGATATATTGTTTAAAATGTCCTTTTTAACATCAATTGTCAAAGACATGTTACTTTTCGACATTTATATGTAAACAAATTGTATGTAAAATCAGGTTAATTTCGATAAAAAGGGGGAAAGGTCTTTATTTATAATATCTATAAAAAGCTAAAATGTTTGACTATTTTCTGTATAAGAGGTATATGGTAATACGAGGAAATGTCTAATCATTTTCAAAGACTTGTTCTTTAGTGTACTTTGTGTGTGACATTAATTGCCAAGAGCATATAATTTTGCATCCTGTATTGTCTTTGAAGCATTATTTTGTTTCACTGTATAAAATTGTGCATGTTCAAAATTGTGTCATCGCATCTCCTTTTTCATTTAAAAATGTCATTTATCTATTGTAAATACACTTGCCATAAAGTTTACGAAAAATACCTTGTGACTATCTTCCAGGCTTGCCCCTGAGCGAATAAAGGTAAAATGTATAGGGTAGAAAAGGACTGAGATTCTCACTGATTCAGTGCTTTTTTAAACGCACGGATGGGGTACTGATTTAAAGAGGAAAATGTATGAAAAACAAAAGTCATACAGAAATCATGAGTGTGATTTTATTATATCTCTTACAATCAAAACGGAGGAAAATCAAACATGACATTGATTTTTTTTTGTAGGTAGCCGATTGATATCCGCCATCAATTTATTTCTTAATCATTTTTGTGTGCGTAGTGCGCGTGCATGTGTGTGAGAGTGTGTGATGTGTGTTTATGTACACGTACAAAGTACTGAAAACAGGTTTTGAAAAAAGGCAAAATATCCTGTTTAAAAAAAATCATTATAGGCTGTTCAGTGTTTTTGAAAACGCACTCATGTTGGTTAATATGATATCGTGTAGAATCTTAATTTCATATTTTGATAAATAAAATTCACTTGAGAGCTTCAATGAATTATCGAAAAATTAATCACTTTCGAAATCTAATTTAGCCATATTGTGAATGATTTAGTTTTTCCTCTTCTATTTGGCGAACACATACAGAAAGATAATATAACTGTCATTTTCATGAGAAATATTCTGCGTTTAAGTATCTGGTATTTTATGTTTCATGTAACCCTGAATTTTTCATTAAAATTTAGAATTTATTTGAATTTGATATTTCATCCATTTGTATTTCTCTCTCTTTTTGATGTTTTTTTTGTTCACATTATTTCTTTTTAAAATTACGAATCTTGTTTCTTTTTGCTAAAAATTTAATCCAACGAATGTCTCGAGTCCAATCAATTACATTGCCAGTTTTTGAAACTGTGTAATATATTGGTCATTCGATAAATGGTGCAGACATAACCTGTCATTTAAAAAAAAATTCTCATTTCATTAACCCAAAAAAGAAAGAAAGAAAAATAAATAAATAAAACAAGTTAAGTTCATTTGATTTGTGTATTTCGTAAAAAGAACATGAATTCATGTTAAAAAAAAAAATATATCGCTCAAACTTGTGAGGCACTATTTTACGGTGGGGGGGGGGGGGGGGGGGGAGGAAACTACTAAATGTCGAGTTATCGAGTCATAGGTCCCTTGAAATTATGTTCAAAACTTTTGTTCAGTAGGTTTAAACTCTACACGTTTTAAAGTAACTAATGTCAGTTTGATAACAAATTCAGATAGCAAAAATGTATTTCACCATCTCATCTTGTAATATCAGAGTGCAATTTGCGTAGAGAAAACTATCCTTTTCAAACATCTTATTTTACATTAAATTTCTCAGGATTTGCCGCCGGCATGGCAGGTAAAGGTTTAAAAACTGCACAGAAAACAGCCGTACAAGAAAAACAATTGTTAAGTTAATTCATGATATTTTCCCGTTTATTTTGTATATTTGCAATTCTTTTTCTCCTTGGTATGCTAACTGGATTAACACGTAAATGCGAGCTGGCAACTACTATACTCTTTTCCCTCACTCTGCTAACGCTCAGGCGGAGAAGCACGTCTGTGTTCCGTTCAACTACGCGTGCTGTCAAAACGCTTCAGATTTTGCTCGAACCTATTTTATTAATCACAATTCGTCACTGCCAAGTTAAAAGTCTGTCGCGCTGATCTAAACTCTTGTACCGTTCTTTTCAAATTGTTCATAAACGTGGAAAATTACTTGCCGCTAAATAGTGCATGGCTGCATGGGTCCTTTCAGTCGAACACACTGCAGTAGGTTCAGCCCCCCCCCCTAATAATAAGGGAAATATGCCCCCTTCATAACAAGTGGTGTATTGGAGTCAATGGCAGGAGCAAGAACGTCATCTTTAAAATAAAAAAATAGAACTGAATGAAGGAATACAGGTCACCATTTAATTGTTAAAATAGGTTTGGATTACATTTCACTCTATTTACAAGACATGGCTTTGAATTATATTCCTTTTGCAGAAAGTAGGTAATCATTGCTGCCAACGCACGGGAAGGCCGAGGCGCCACGAGTTTCCAGGGCTCGGTGAGCGAGCACGCAGAAATAGGGGTAAACAAGAACGACAAATGAGTCGGAAATACTAATTTATTAGGCACATAATTCTGCACCCCGCTCATATAATGCGATTTAGATAAATTTGATGAAAAGCACGCGCACCGATTCTTATCAGCTTTTGTCCAATTAGTTACGGGCAACCCCCTTTTAATCAAGCCTCCACATCAATGCCACTTGTTTTAGCGTGCCATATTTTGCTAGATGATGGAGAAAATGCATACTATGCGAAGTCGGGAAATAATCTAAAGGTTTTTCTTTTTTCTTTTTGTTTTGTTTTGGTCTTTCTTTGATTGAATTCATAATATGCCCAGAGCTATTTCTGTCTTCTCAGTCCCCGACCGACATGCAACTCTCTGAGGAGAACAGACGACATGACTGTATGTTAATCAATCTTACTCCCTGGATTCCCGCCATGTATACTGCGGACCATCTCATAATGTCTTCATCCTACTCCCAAACTAATACATCAAATCAACCCCGTCATTCTGGCCCTTTATTTACCACCACACCATTTGCTTTCCAAGCAATCTAAGTGAAACATTTCTTTACCGGTGGGGCTAAATAGATGGCGAGAAGAGGGAGGGGGTGAACAAGCACCAAACATAGAAAATAACCCGAAGGCATTGAAAACAGATCCATGACATACAACATGAGCCCCCATTCTCTAATTCAGACAAATTCATTAACTAATTCAACCGTATCGCTAGCACTTCTTTGTGCATGATACATCCGCGCATTTTTATGGCTATGAATTCAATTGTGGAATGAATCTAGAAAAATAATTTTGCAATGGAAACGGCAATTGTGTGATTGGTGAGGGTTTTTTGCGCGGTGTTTTCATCTCTATCTCAGACACCACCCATGCGTGCCCCTATGAATGGTAAATGAATTTCTGCCCGCCGGGTGCCGGTGGAAGGAGGGTAAGTAAGTGTATGGAACATCGCGGGGCAGCGTCGGAGAAAAATAGGTGGTAGTGTGCACCTCATGCCTGCATCTTTTATTTCCAGGGCCGAAAGGGAGGGGGGCTATTCAGCACCCATAGAAAGAGCGATGATTACTTGAGGTGTCGTATCGTTGCCCATAATGTGTTGCTGTATTCACGACCCGTATGTCGGACTTGAACGGAATGTATACTTCCACAAAATGGTCACTAGAATAAGCTTCCCCCTCTCTTTTCTTCCAGACTATTATGACACGCTAAAGAAATGATTCTTCCCTCATTGGAAAGGGTGTCAGGTTTACGTTATTGTGGTTGGGGGCAAGTTAGCAAACGCGATATCTGGGGTGGCGTTACAGAGAGAGATCTAGTCGGAGTGTGATTAGTACACGTATGGCGTGTGTTCCACCCCAAGTCGGCCGGCTTTGAAGTGAGTTCCCTTCTTGCAGGAGTAATAAGTGACAGAAGGCCGCGAGTCTTAGATGTATCAGAACGAGATTGGATAGAAGGGGGTGCGATGTGTATAACCTGCCCCCCATCTGACCGAAGTTCAAAGCCGTGCCGATGTAAAGTACTGCCCTCGGAACCTTACGATCAATCTAATTGAAACTGATATCCAGACGCGAACCCTGGTCCCTGCGTGTTAATCACTCCCCAAGAAAAGGGATCAACTTCAGTGAGACCTCGACAAGGTTAACAAGAATTCAATCTATTTAATCACAAGTTCAATTAGATAAATGGATATTAATTGGTCGAACGCACAAGATTTGTATCGCCCGTTTGTTATCTCCACTCATCTAACAAAATCTTGCCTGTGGCATTCGACATGGCCGCATTTGCAAACACAATTCAAGTTTCCTTACCATTCATTCAGTCTTCCTTATTTCATATTTCCTCAGCATTCTATAAAAATATAAAAAAAGTCAAGCTTTCTCTCAATTTGCTTCAAATCATTTTATTTTGTTCGTTATTTATCTTGTCAAATCACCAATGTCCAAAATAGATATATCCTCTTTCTTTATTATCCGGTCCCACTATCACATCCAGATCTTTACCAAAAGTAATCAACTTTATTTTTTAATTTTTAATTTTCAAACAGAACGTTGATGACATTAACTTATATTTCTATTCTTTCATTTCTTTTAGTTGTCATAGAGTTGCCATAGAAACTGTGGATAGGGAAGTAATAAGCTCATAATGGACAACCTTTATTACCTTTATATCATATTGATGGGTAATATCTGAAAGGTTTCTTAACAAAATGATAAAGGCCTTTACTCTCTCTCTCTCGTTTCTCAAACAGATTACACAACCTCATCTTCCCTGACATATAAAACAATATTCTTACCGGTAATATCTTTGTTCATGCATAATTGATTAGGAAAGCTCACAAAATGGGATTTGTATAAACCACAGCAGACTAATCTCGAATATGAGGGGGAAAAAGAAAAAAAAAGTGAAGTGAATATATGTAAACCGCCACAACTGTATCATAGCAACAGACACCAACACAAGAGAAAATGGAGCATTAAAAACCGTCTTTGATAGCAATATCTCCAACCACTTTTATTCCTTATTGCAACTGGACTGTGCTTGCATGCTAAGTGCTGCATACAATGATAATACACAAGGAGTACAGAACTATATATACCTTAATCAGTGACAACACAAAGCATCGACTGACTGAGCTCCTTACTTTAGAGCTAGCCTTGAACGAGAGTTGCTACTCCCTCTCTCTCTCTCTGCATCATCTAAACATGATATATCACAGCAAGTGATAGCTTATCAATACGCACAATAATTATCTAATTCAGTCTGTAGAAGACCAATATTACAAAATGTATTTCATGTACTGCTATTGACTCGAACACTCATTCTAGATGAACTGATTACCTTTTCCCCCTGAACAAATGAATATGAAAACATAAGTGTAAGGCAAAATAGTCATTATCGTATGAATAATAATGTTGCAAAGTATGTGTACATTTTACTCATATATATTACATAAGAAACAAAAGGGTTTACAGGTAACGTTCAGTAAAGAAGAAGTCATCATTACATCCATCGAGTATAAAATTGTTATCCTATGCAAAGACAATTAACAAATTTGGACGATTTTAATAAGTGAAAATTTGCAGACAGACTTCTCGAAATATATCAATGTTTTCCTCGAGAAGATGTTACCCGAATCATAAGCACAGAAAGACAAACGGTTTATTTTTATCCAATACATATTTCATGTTTAACGTGACAAGAACTACCTAAACACAAGTGCTAACTAGCTTTTTAAAGCTTTTACATTTACTATTCCTTTGTACACCAAACTAATTATGTTGTAATCATGAACGGCCTAGTTTTCAGTATTCAGTTTCCCTGCATTTAAACTAATTACCGTAATTAACGTTGTATAAACCGCCCTCGTGTATTAACCGCACCCCTCTTTTTCGCTCTTTAAAAAAAAAAAAAAAAAAAATTTGCCGAGATTTTTTCTTTTTGTAAGATCATTAATGTAAATTAAAAAACAGTAGATGACCTAGGATAGAACCTTGTGGTACACCATGTAATAGAAGAAAAATTGGAGGAATTATTATTATAAACTACATATTGAGATCTATCAGAAAGATTACTTTCAAACCAAGATGACAAACAAATTTGAGTGTTGTTCTAGTTTCCGAGTGGCTAGTCAACACACCGATTACCGAGCTGGGAGACATTGCCTAGCATAGCGCCAGGTGGAGGGGCATAAATCGAAACTTAAAAAAAAAAAAAAAAAAAAAAAACACGGGTTAATACACCGTTAATTACGGTAACAATGTTTGGGGAGGGACTATGAGATGCAAGTTGGTGTTGTGGTATAATCAGCTCTATGTCTTTGCCTAAGCATCAATTCTGATGGCCCGGCTCAAAACAAAGTCAAATTTGTCATACAGTGACTTTAAAGGTTGGTGCACAGAGGTCCGATGCATATCTGTAAAACCCAAATACACATGATTCACAAGGTAAAAGAATAGCCAGAGGTTAATATATTATTGAACCCAAAGAATTGATAACACAATAACCCAGACCTTGATAAAAATGTTTCTAGTCTCAACTGTCAGGCCCTCCTGACACTTTGGAACCAAAGAAAGGTGATTTCCATAAATCATCATTAGTATTCCAAGTTAGTTTCTCTGAGCAAAAACAAAATACATACATCAAAGACTTCTTAACGTATTCACATTTCATATGCTATTTATGTAATAGAGACCATATTTTCACCCCAACAATGTTATTTAGATTAGTCATACATATATATATACTATAGCAATAATACAAACTTGACAGCCAAGGAGTTTCCATTTTGTAATCTCTACCAAAACTGATGCTACACTGGGAAGCTTAATGTAAGAATGTCATCCCCCATAAAAGGAAATACACTCACTTGATATAGCTTAACATGTATTCTAATGTTGCTGTACCTGTATGAACCCAATTACACCTGTTACTATATCACCAAAAAAAGGATACATACACACACATTATCATGGCAAAAGGCACAGTTTGGTTGGACTTGTGTCTTCACGAAGGGCGGGTCAAAGTTTTTAACCCTGGTTAACTTTCATCTTTAAATTTTTTTTAACACAGCAGAATGAAATTTACATTGACAAAGAAACAAAATGTCCCCCAAAACACACACAATAATGATGGTTTCTTTGCTACTGAAGAGGGTGAGAATATTCAAGCATCTACATTTTTAGATGGAAAAAGAAAAGCTGTAACTATATGTCACCAGTAACCCTGTCAATATATTATATGAAAATTTACACAAATGATGAAATTAAACAGACCAACAAGAGTCTAGAAGTACATGCAGGACAAATCAAGTCTACATGTAATCAAAACACATCGTAAATCAAATATTGAAGAAAAAAAAAGATTTTTTTTGGCATCTTATCTAGATATTCAAAAAATATAAAGTGATCTCTCTCTATTCATCCTTGTAACAAATATGGGGGAAAATTATAATAACAATAATTTAGATTTATACAGTGTATCGTCTCATAAGCCTAAATAACACATGGCAAGAACTATACAAAATATTGACCGACATATTTTCATGTAAATGTTTGCTCATCAAAGAGATGTTCATTTTACAATCATTCCATATACCGGTAGACAACCTGCATACAAACTGACAGACTGATTACTAAACTGGAGCGAATTTGAATTAAAAAATGAATTGTCACAAATTATAATGTACCAGGCATTACTTTCAATATACCAGTTAGTCCACATTTCTAGTCGATAACTAAGTTATCTATTGTAAAATTATTATTTGATCATATATAATGTTCGATATATCAACTACCAAGAATAAAAACAAAAACCCAAAATGCCTAGATTTTGCCCAACACTTTCAAAACATCAAGTTTGGTCATAGATGGTTATGAAGTTTGGCATAGAGTAGAATATACAATATCAAGATAATGATGGGGAGTGTTAAACTTTGATCATTTATTCAATTACTACGTTGCATCTGTTCATAATCTAACCCTCAGCTATGCTCACTATGTTAAAGCAGTTTCTAACTACAAATAAATAGTTTTTCATTTGTTATTGTTGCACATTTAGGTGAATACATTTTCAGCAATTTACATTTAACAAATGTACAAGCATAAACATCTATGTGCTTTCTCTCTCTCTCTCTCTCTCTCTCTCTCTTTCACTATCTTTCTCTTTCTTGCTCTCACCACACTACATGTGCTGACATCAATTGTCAGCTTATATAACATTTTTCTGCCATCAACAAATATAGAGTATATTATATACAATTTTTTATTTTTATATGATATGCACCTATATCAAAGATGAATTTATGTCCACTTATTTAAATATCAGGCAAAACAAATTTAATATTAATATCTATACATATATTTCCCAACATAATATTTGTTTTATTATTTTGCTATTTTTCTTCACAGAAACGAAGGTTAAATCTGCTAAAAGCCAAAGCCGTGCACATAAAGCCTATAATGGTTAGATCTAATCCTTTTTGTTTTCTTCCAAGAAATTCTGTGGCTATTCGTAAAGTCTGAGCCAACTGCACAAAATGGAATTTAAAGTTCATCTTAACATCTTATGTTGCATATATCTATCAATAATATTAAATAGCTCAGAGTACATGGCAAGTTTATCATTCTTTAAATTCAAAATTCTAGGGTGATATTGAAACACACATGTATGTAAAACATTTTCAGATTAATATGTTTTACTTGAAAATATTGGTTTTAGTGATGAGCAAAATGGATCTGTTTTAGTCCCATTAATAGTCAGATAATAGTGAGATTTCATACCTAATAAATTGTAGATGAGCGTTATCTTTACTACCATGTTGTATTTATAACATGCCAATAGCTGGCAAAACATGACCTCGAAGTAAGACATTGAATCAAATCATTGTATAAAATGAATCACATTTACTAATACTCCAAATGACATGTCTTAAAACTTTTACATTAATACCATAAATATATAACATCAAACCAAATCCTATTCAGAAAAGGCACAAAATAATATGAATTGTACAACTTATGAAAGAGTTAATGAATTAAAATCAAAAATTTCCTTGGCTGTATTTTGGAACATTGTACAAATTCCATGTCAAGTACAAAGTAGAAAACAGTTTGTTAATCAAAACATCAAAACAAAAAGTACTTCACCAAAGTAAGAAATTAATCTTTCAAAAGTACAAGGCAATTCAATATCTTTTACCATTTAATGTATTATATACACAGTTTCACTTTTCTTCAAAGAAAAATGTAATAAAAAAAGGTTCTTTTAAAGTAAAGCTTTTTGACAAAAATTATCTTTAAATGGCATTCATCAACTGATTTAATACCAGCACTGTTATAAACATTTATCAATGGTACTTTATTCTTCCATCCTTTTCCACGTCTTTAATCTGAACAACACCCAGGTTTTGTGTTTCCCTAAACTCCCTTCCACTCCCTTCCACTCTCTCTCTCTCTCTCTGCACTTCTTTTGATGCATTTCATCATATTTCTCTGGCTTGTTAGTACCTCTAAAGATAGTGAACCACCTCGCACAGAGGAAAGTCAATTTCTTCCTCTGCACATATACATATACACATGCCCATCTTTCTTCATTCATATATTTCACATCACTCTCTCTTTTCTAACCAAAACCATAGGCCATGCTGATGCGACCATGATTGAGCCTCATTCACACGCAACATAGTAAACTGCCTCAAACACCCATCGCAGCAAGATAAAACATCATAATCGCAGTGCCCCTCACATTTCTGTATCTTAACACGCTGGCAATTGGATTCCCGTACATCTTATCGGCTAAACACAGAAACCACCCGGTTCCAGTCGGCACTGTGTTAACTGATAAGCAAGTATTCTTAGCGGTCTTTATCGTAGGCAGATACTTTTTCTCTCACCCTCACTTGCCATTCATTTCCATGTAAAGCAGTTTTTATTTTGCCGCGATGGTTTATTGCATCATGTGTGAACATGCCTTTAAGCAGTGCCGGACTACTACGTCGTGTGTGAACAGACCTCTGACACATTGACCCGTTTGTTTTCCTCACTGAATACTACACTTCTCGTCTCTCACCCCTGCCCCTCCTTTGTTGCGTCTTCTCATCAGAGCATTCTCCAAGTATTCCGCTTCCTCCTCAGCCCTGTGTAGAGAAAGATAGTATGAAAGAATGAAGAGGATTAATGTCGAAAACATTCAATTCATGCTTTCTTTCAATCCTAAAACGTGACTTCACATGTAAACAGCATGTTTTGTTGATGTAAATTTTAGATTAATCATGTAGTGTGTCACAAGAAATATTTGACATCTTGTTTTTCTTTAATCATCTGAGTAGGTTGTAAAAGGCATTTTTTATAGTGATGATTAAGAGTTTTCACTCTTCCTACTCAAACACCAACCATTCTCAATATATATTTATTTCTCAATTAACAATATTTCTGAGGAAACAGGATTAAGAATAAACAATATTCTGAATATAGAAATTTCAAAACAAACAATACTTCTGAATATACAATATTTCTTCATATGTATATATGATATTGCCCAACCAAGCACTGGCGATAATAAGACATCTCAAGGGTACTTCTAATTCAATCTATCAAGTCAAGCAAAAGAGATTCTGGACTGCATCCACTTACTCTCGTTCCTGCGCATCGAGTTCCATCACCAGTTCATCCCTTTTGTTGACAAGGATCACAAGATCTTCCAGCAGGAAAGCCTCCCTTTGTCTCTCCTCCTCTGTCTTCTGCCAATCTGTCCATCATGAGTGAGAGAGAGAGAGAGAGAGAGAGAGAGAGGAGAGAGAGAGAGAGGAGAGGAGAGAGAGAGAGAGAGAGAGAGAGAGAGAGAGAGAGAGAGAGAGAGAGAGAGGAGAGAGAGAGAGAGGGGAGAGAGAGAGAGAGGGGGGGAGAGAGACAGAAGAGAGAGAGAGAGAGAGAGAGAGAGAGAGAGAGGGGGGGGGGGGGGGGAGAGACAGCAAGAGGGAGAGAGAAAGAGAGAGAGAGAGAGTATTAATTTCTTGTTTTGCAGATGAAGTGATTTGTATAATGACATATGTATCTGAATTTCGGAACAATAAATAAATACTGTAACTTGAAGGAATGCTTATAACTAGTGTATCGTTATTGAGAAGTTCATGACACTGTGATGGAGTTGAAGCTGATGATGGTCTCAGAAATTACGATGCTGATGATGGAGATTACGGTAAAAGTGATATTGATGCTCGTGTCATTAAAAGTAAATAACTGAGAAGGTCCATGACAGTGATGATTACATTGTATGAAGATGAAGATGATTGCGAAACTGAGGAATTTCGTCATGATTGCAAATAATGAAGACGATGTACCTATGATGATGATGTACCTATGATGTTGATGACTATGATTAAGAAGATGACATGAAGATGAAACTGACTTCCAACAAGAAAGCATCATGACATTGTAATTACATGGACAGTAGCATGAATACATGGTATGGAAACCATCATCATCACAATGCTAGAAATATATATTCCAATATCAATGACATCATATCATATTATTTCACAGTAAAGTTGTCATGGTTAGTGGATATGTCACCAGACTGTGGATCACCTAGTTTGCGGTTCAAGTCCCACTGCGGCACAAACGCCCTATGGGAAGGCATTAATCTACATTCGCCAGTCTCCACCCATTGGTATCCAGTAGAATGCGGATGTTAATGTGGTTGGATTGGCTTGTGTGCGCTTGTTAAATGGCACTTGGCTGGAATACTCTCCAGGAAGCAGAGCGTGTCCACTATCATGTGCAGATTAGCAATTTAATCCAATGACCGGGGTAATAATAATTACAATGTGAAGCGCTTAAAAACATAGTAAGAAGCGCCATATAACTGTGACTATTATTATATTTACTTACCTTCTATCTCCATCATCTTTCTGAGCTCTTGATTCAGCATTTCATATCTTCTCTCAAGATCATGTTCCTTCTCCCTATCATGTAGAGAATAAAAGAGAAAGAAATGAATCATGTTAAATTATTATCCTAGAAATACCCCAAAGATAACATATAAATGTATTATAATAGATTTTTCAAATTGATATTATAGAAATGTGCATGGGCATTATGCATTCTGACCAATATGTACCCTGAAAACCCCAAAACCAGGAACTTAAGAAGTTAAGATATATGTGTATCTTTGATATTGTAATTTTTAACACTAGCAAGGAAATACAATGTAGTCCTGTCTGTGTTTTTGATAAATTCCCTTATAATAAACTACATAGAAATGTATGTCTCCTAAAAAAAAAGGAAAGAGAGAGAAAGAGAGTGAGAGTGAGAGACAGAGAGAGAGAGAGAAAGAGAAAGAGAAAGAGAGAGAAAGAGAGAGAGAGAGAGAGAGAGAGAAAGAAAGAGAAAGAAAGAGAGAAAGAGAAAGAGAGAGAGAGAGAGAGAGAGAGAGAGAGAGAGAGAGAGAGAGAGAGAGAGAGAGAGAGAAGGGATTTGCAAACAATGTGTCATTGATATAAATGTTGGACACTGGACAGTCATCAAATGAATTTAACCTCTTTTCTTAAACATAGGATAGCATAAGCTGTAAAATGCAGAGTTGCTAAAAAAAAGAATAAAAAAAAACAAAAAACTAATGAATCTTGCAATTACTATACTTGAGCTAATACGAACTATTTGTTTGTGATTTCCAATAAACAAGCATGATGAAGTGAGGACACAATAAACTCACATGACATTGAGCTGTTCTTGGCGCCTGATCAGAGCATTCTTCTTGTTAACCAATTCAAACCACTCCTGCATAAGAGCAGCTTCATCATCCGTACCTACGAGAAAGAGAAAATAATGACTTAAATACTGATAGTAATAGTAATTAGTGTTCATATTTAAATCATACTGACTGGTTAAATACACTCAAGGAGGATAATTTATGTGACTATATTGCATAAGAACAGTCACTATGGTTGTAGATGATAATAATTCTGGTAATATAGTCTCATACAACGTTTTTTTTAAATGAGCCAGTTAATATTATCACTCGTTCACAAGGATAGACATCCAAGAATATGTACATAATGGTTCAGTTGGTACAACAAGCATGTACAATATTAAGTCGTACATTGCAATATCCATAGTTCTAGAACAAGTAATAAATGGAAAGTTTTCAAATGGGTGTTCTAAGTTTTTGTTATCCTGGAAATCTATTTTCAGGTGTGTCAAAAAGAGAAGTAAGGTTACACAAATAGTCCAAATAAAAATTCTTGGTCAATGCTTCAACAAACATTAGAGTAGTAATTATGTTAACCTAGAAGTTTTCCTATATTGAGCTATTATAGAAGTCTCCTTTGAATCCCATGAAGAAGGCAAGAAAGGAAATGCATTTTGTTCAAATCTGCATTATTATGTCAAGCTTTAACAAACTATAAAAAAAATAAAAAATAAAAAAAAAGGATTTTTGTAAGTTTTCCATATTATGCTACTATGGAATTCTATTTTCAGACCCAAAATGAAGACACACAAAAAAGGCAACACATGTAGTTTAAATGAAAGCCATATCTACAAGTCTATGCAAAGCTTTAACAAATACTTTATTATGGCATCAGGGCTGTTGTGTATAAGTTATCCATACTGAGCAATAAATAGAAGTCTATTTGCAGACCCACATAAACTTAAGAAACGCAATGAATATATGGTAGTCCAACTGAAAGCCATATCAATAAATCTATGTCAAACTTTACAAATATCAGTGTTTTCATTGATGTTTTATAAGTATTTCATACAGTATATTAGCAATATCAAAGTTCTATGTCACTTGTCAGCTTCATCAAAGGCAGTCCATTGATAGGATGAAGTCAGGATACAATCTGCCTATGGTTTCTTGAATGGCTTCATGATCCACTGCAGAAACCATAGACACAGCATGCATGAGGTTTGCCAATTTTATAGGTGGAGATTGCAGCAGCATGTTTAACAAATTTCATACCAATATTTTCAAGTTTGTTTTCAAAGTTTTGAAACATTGGTGCACTGGCCTATGAAAGATGCAAGAAAGGCGACAGAGACGAAAGTCACACAATGATGTTCTCAACCTTTTTTTTTGGGGGGGGGTAAATTTCCAGAAATTGTGTATGTCTATCTCATTTGGCATGACATAAAAACCAGCAATATCCATTGAAGTTAACTTTTGGATGGCCTACTTTAAAGATAATAATGCCTTGCATGGCATTCTCTTCATGTTGCCAGAGTATCTGCCCCCCTGAAGGATATGTACATGTATCTACAGTTAATGTACAGTTAATTTTAGTCTCTCCTTTCTACATGGACATTATTTTCTCAAGGCTGAAACCTTTAACATAGTAATGAGCAATTTTAGAATGATGACAAACATAATGTTTTATAAAAACATAAATTTTGTAAACCTTGTAGTGAGTGACATACATGTATGTTTTTTCAAACAGGTAACCTTTTCTGTTTTCATGGCAGGTTAATAGGCTGGTCATAAAAAAGTACCGTATAGGACATTATGTGAAGGTTTTGTTCATTTGTCCATTCTGACTTAAGAAACACTGCACTAACAGCCTTAAAGGCATCGCTTAACAATGTTAAATCTGAGATGCACGGCCCTATGTGTTATCAGTGTCTGTGATATGGTGTCATATTGAAGCCCTAAAAAAATTGCGCTTCAAAGTGATCATGAAGTGCCTCAAAAAAGTACAAATCTTTGAATGACTGGTTTTACCATACTCATTTCCCAAATAGACTGTAGTGTGATAAAAACCGTTAGGAAAACCCCAAAAATGAAATTTTGATTTCCAATCATAAATATCTTGATAATCAGACAAGCGGTCGGCTTGTAAAATTCATGGGATTCCTACTGACCTAAAGGTTTATAATTATGATTGCAGCATGAGCTAAGTCCAGGATTTTGTTTCATAATCTGAGGCAATGTTACTGAGTCACTTTAAGTATAATGCCACCTCGCATGAACCCAGTTTTTTAACTCCATTGAACACTAAGTCCAACATTCCTCCGGATTAAACACATTAAAAATGCTAAAATACATTGAAAAATGCGTGAGGAAAAGTTAAAAGCGCATCAAACATGAATACATGTCCTTCCCTTTGAAATGTATGTCAAATTGTCATTTGTATCATTTTGATTGTAAATTAAATACATTAAGGAATGGTGCTGTAAAGTTTAGTACCTCCCTGGACACCAGGTAATTAGATTGAAAAAGGAGAAGAAATTCACTAGTATAATGAATGCAGTATACCCTACTCTTTAAAGATTAAGCCAGAAGCACACATAAATGTAGGAATAATGCAGTAGCTTTTGATAAGATAGATGTGTAGGTAAATGCGTCAAAAGAAACATTTAACATGGGCCCTTGAGGCCTAGAGAAGACTTTTTTAGTACAGAAGTCACAGTGGACCCCAGAGGTTTGAAAATGACCTAAAGCTTAAGTGTAGACCTTTTTACCATAAGGTAATACAACAGAATGTTCACATAATGTTCCAGCTGTATTGGTTTAAAGCAGAAGAAGATTTTTGACATCTAGAATCTTCAGTAATTTGTGCACTTTGACAAGATACATGAATGCAGAATTATTGCTTACCAGACACACGTACCAATTATGAGCGTATGTAATCATCATGCATTTATCATCACAAATTGCTGGATTAACTATTTTGCGGCAATTGGAGGGGAGTTTGTGACGTGAAAGGCTGGCCGAAACGTTAGCCCAGTTGATTGCAGTAATTAGCCCCATAGAGGGGTTGGAGTGAATGAGGGTAGCAGTAATGGGGGGATACAAGGCCCCTCTCTTTGGGCTATTGAGGCAAACCTTGGTCCCTTTCACTGGCTTTCTCTATCCCCTCGGTGATTCTTTGAAAAGGAGCGAGGTTTGATGGGTGCCGATGGCTTCTTGCTTTACAATGAAAAGAGGGTTGACCTGAAGAGTGTGAAGGCACACACTCAGAATACATCAAACCTGCAATTAAAGCTAAACAATCTTTCAGGCTTATTTTTTTTCCTTCTTCAAAAATGCATGAAAAGGATTCTTTCCCTACTCTTCTTCTAAAATGAGGCCGGAGAATAAATTTGGCTATATTGAGGGTATTCTCCTTGACCAGAGAGAATGAACAGTAACAAAAACTTTGGTTTTGGATGAGTCATTATAAAAACAGTCATTATCAGGTCCACAAAGGAGAGAATTCGCTAATTTCTATCTTTGGTTCCCAAGATGAAGGAATATGGCATTCTGTCACATTTACTGCCCATTAGTTGCACATTAAAACTTTTTGTGGCAATTCCACTGGTGTGGAGCCATTGTGCGACGTGATAAATTAATATCATTTGATAAGTCTCGAGTTTAGATTGGAATGTAAATATTTTTTGGTTAAGGCTTGACCACTGACCTTCCTCCATGGCCTGTCGGAGGGCTTTCTCCACGAACGCTGCCCTCTCGTCGATCTGCTTCTGCTCTCGATCCAGAGCTGAGTATTCACCCAGGATGTACTCGCTTGTCTCTTGCAGGTCCTGTAGGTTTAGTGATGGGTAGGAAGAATTAGTTCTGTGAGCAATGACTGATTGCACAGGAATGCAACTCTACATAAAAGCTAAACTGATGAGTTTGCACATCATACATACGGTTTGCTCAGAGCTAGAAGGGCGTTAATGCTGTGTTAAAAAGTATAGAGTTTTAATGGCCTTCTAGATCTCAACAGATGCTATATTCCTCTACATCAACGATCATGCATTCTAAAGGTCATAACTGACATGGAACAAGACACAGATCTGTCCCTGGAAACATGCCTGTTACACTGACCCAAATGACTCAATTGTTTCTTTTATAACATCCAACGTTCACAAATATTAAGATTAAATTGGATAATTAGGGGTGCTAAAACAAGGAGTATTTATTCATAAAGACAAAAGATAGGGAAAGAAAACTGGAATAAAAATTGGAACAATAAGAACTGGGAAGAGCGAAATCATCACTGAAATGCAAGAAAGGTGTTAACTACCTCTTCCATTAGGTCTTCTGTTCCTTCTTTACTCTTCTCCACCTCATGATCCTTCTCTTCCGCATCCTTGATCTCTTCTTTGACCTGTCCATCCGGTGTCCTGGCTTCATCTGATGGGTCATCCGGGGTCTTGGCTGAAAGTACGGGGGTACAGGAGTAGTGGTCATGCGTTATAGCAAGCATTAATCTACATTTGCCACTCTTCACCCAGGTGAAGTAATTATGTACCAGATGGTAAGAAATTCTGTGAATGTTCCTTATAGTAGCTCAGCTGCAGGTGGGGATAATTGGTATCCTTTGAAATAGTAATTACTAGTGTATAAATCCAATAATTATCATCAGTAACTTACACATTTAGTTTCCAATAATTCTGCATACCTTAAGGGTGTAAAACAATGAAAATAATTTGCAAATTATAGCTCCATTTCGAAAATGATAATCTTAATTAGATAAATGAACGGAGTACCACTACGGTTTGACTTTGGTGCTACAGGGAATATTATCTCATTGGATATCTATTTCTTCAAGAGCTTCTTACTGACAAGGAAACTTGTATTCATACTTTTAATGAAATTCATAATTAAGATTAGATTTGCTATACAAAATTATATGCCATCATACTGTTAATGATGATTAAGATGATTCAAACAGCTCCTTAATCCACTCCCAACAAAGATGATCTCTCATTAAAAGTCCATTTTCATCCACCCAAATTGGCAGAGACATCCAGCATGTATTGTTTCACTATTTCCACAATCACTTTGAAGTTTTCCGATCTCGTATGAACCAAGAGAAAGGTCATCCATCATACTCGCACCACAACTGACCACCAGTCCATCTGGACAGAGAGTCAATTCAGAGATAACCATCCATACATTCACCAGCCACACCCCATACAAGTCTTTTTTTTCAAGCTAACCTTTTCTCTGTACGGGCTGGACCAAATTGGTGAAGGATTGGAGCGGCGTCTTGACCGCGATATTGCCCTTGGTCAATCCCTTGGCGAGTTGATTGTCGTCGGGGCTGACCGGCGGCGTAGGTTGGTCAGGGCTGGCTAGAGGCTGTCCATCTGCTCCTGTCTTCTCACCTAGGAAGTGATAAGAACCTTGTGTAATGGGCTTTCTTTGGCAGGCTAGGCTGCTCTATGGGTATTTGGTTGATGAAGTGTTAGGATGGGGTGTGATCTTCACAGGGAACCTCTTGATATGTCATTGACTCATCAAAGATACATTTGTCATGAATATATTTGAGATTGATATTAATCTTGTCCAACTTGTAACAGAATACAAGGTAAAAATACAACAGATATTGATATCAAAGGTATTGTCCAATGTGATATTGGGCATGTTAACTTCCTTAATTTGATTTTTTTTTAATGTATGAGGCATCATCTAAGACTTACCTTTATAAATACCCATTAAAATCTCATTATATTCTATTATCTTTTGTGGACAGACTGGGAATTGACAAACACAATGCCATATTTGAGCACCTTTTAAATGTTCATTTTTCTATCATTATCCAGATTTCTCTAACTACTGTCTAAGGGAAATTAAGGTTCATACCTTCAATCATTGGTACTCTTTAATGTCTTGTGTTCCCTTTAAAAATTACAACTACTGGTACAGATAAGCAGGGATTAGAGCACTTGATAACTAGCCCATGCCTCCTAACATTTAACATGTAACATAAATGGAGCCACTTAAGGTTAAAATATTATCATAAAAAAAATTCTAAGGAATTTGGAAAAAGAAAACCTGACAAATGCCAACTTATTATTTCATTGTGTATGGTTTGTTTTACCTGTTTTGTTTAAATGAAAGATAACAATGTGCTTGAATTCTTTCTAAACATTTATATTTTCATATTGCAGTATGTTGTTAATCATTCCAAGCCCCCTATAATGTTATATTAATTTCACCTTCTATAAAGCCAACTAAATGAAAACTACCGTTTCCTATCATAATCCCCAAGAAGAAACAACCAAAGAAGGTTATAAGGGTGAATATGTGCAATGTGTCACATACAACACATGACTTTTTACCAGTTTATTTCATTAAGAAATGAATGACCATTGAATAATGGTTATTTGTGTTACATCACTAACATTATTTCATCATTATTTCATTGTTATTTCAAGTCAAGAATTTTTTCATTTTTGAATAAAATAAATGGAAAATGTCATTTGTCAAACAGAACACATTGCACAGGATCACCCGATAACTACTTTGAGTACATATAGATAACTTCCACCATAATGATCTTTGTATGGTCCTACCAAATATGATACATCTACATAATACAAGTAGTCCCATGTATAAAACTTGATGTATCATTTCTTTATTGAAAAATCATACCAGAAATTCCATCACAGCTCAACAAACATATATTTTCCATCATTTTGGATTCATGCATGAATCGGCAGCATCCAAAATCATAAGCTACGTTCTTGTTCTCCTCAAAACTGGATTTGGTTTTTTGATTTTTGATTTTCTGGTGCATGTCATGTTTAATTCAAGACCAACAATATCCATGCGAAAGAGAAATACAATTTAGTACACATATTTCACTGTACGTTTTTGTGTGTGCACAATATCTGCAGAGAAAAGATATTCATCGGTTTTAAAAACATCAAATTAGCACAACGACAAGAATCTTTATAACAAGAACATACATGTATATCTCTAGACAAGAAATACATAACAGACTAAAATTCCTACAAAATAACTTTCTTTATTAAAGGGTAATACAAAATAATTCATATTTATCTTGATCTAAATGTGCTTTGACAATAAACTGGAACTTAATCAGACAAAGAATTGGGAGGGAAATGTGAGTCGGGTCACAAATCATATTACAAAACTAGCAGCTAAGCTGTACTGGCATTATAAAGAATAATGGATTCATTTATCACCACCATATTAGAGAAATAAAGAGAGACATAAAAAGGAGAGGGACACAGGGAAAGACAGACAGAGAGGGGAAGAACAAGAATAAGAGAATGACAGAGAGAGCCAGATATAGCGAGAGACAGAGAAAAAGAGGGAAGAAGGAAGAGAGAGAAAGAGAGAGAGAGAGAGAAATAGAGAGATACATAGATAAAAATAAAGAGAAAGGCAAAATATTTAAATTGAGAGTGGTGAAAAAATTAACTCATGCATCCGTGTTGCTGCTTGCAAATAACAACTAAATATACATGTACAATCATTTTAGTGCATTTACTGTAATACAGAAAAGATTAAGAAACACCGTTAATTCTAACTAACGTGGTGAAAAATCTTCTACCTCCCATTCACATAATTATTTTTAAATTGTTAGACAATCACAATAATTATTTTAAATGAGATATATATAAATAAATATTCATGAGATTAGATTTTCTTCTTAAAAGATAAGTAGATTATGTGAATTACTGGAATGGATTAGTTTAATTGGACTTCAATATTTGTCCTACATGTGTGTGGATGGATGGACACATGCAATTCAATATTGGGAAGCCTCTGTCACTTCTTATATAATTAATGGTTATTACATGCAGGGGTAATGTTGTTACATATGAATTCTGTGGAAGAAAACCACAGTTAATTAAATCCTAGAAAATTGTGGAACAAAGAAGAGAGACGAACATTGGATTATTTGTTACCCAAATGTAATGAGTATTCTTTGGTTTTTTATTGTAGATATTTTTCTCACAAACTAATACAATTTCTCGGCATCGTTAGTAGATCTATGGTATTTTACATTAAACACATTTTTTTATGAGAAAGTGTTTCTGGTGTTTCTTGTTTGTCTCTAAAATGGCTTCCCTTTAAAAAAAAAAAAAAATAACTATGTTTCCATGAAAATACTCCACGTTTATTAAAATTGTTTTCTGTTTGCCTTTAACATGGCTTTTCTCTTGAGCCTCTATTAAATACGACATGGTAATTTGACTTTGAAAAGACCTGCTGCAACAAAACAAAAATGAAACAACTTCACACAAGCACATCGTGCATCAGATTTCTGTATATCATAACACACCGATATCAGGATAGAATTAGATTACTGACTTTTTTTTGTTATACTTCAACTTCAAAGGGTTTTCAGCATCAGTTTTTTTTAGCAGTTTAAATACCATGTCATATTTAAATAAAGAGACATGTTAAAATAGTGAAAAGAGAGGAGGGTGGGGTAGGAGATGAATCATTCATAATAGAGTAGATGGAAATTGATGGAAAAATCTTAAATATTATTTTGGTTTTTCTGTCTTCTTTTTTCTCTCTTTTGTCTGGGAAGGAGGGAAAGGAAGTGATGGTAATAAATGTATTATATGCAGCTCATATGTGGGTTAGACGTCTGGTAAAAATATATACAGCATTCATTCTCAAATTAAAATGGCTGCAGGCAGCAACATGTGACAATTTCTCCTGTTTGCTTTTATTTTCTTGACCTCCCATTGAAAGTCTTAAAACTACACTATACATGTAATCTTTCAAAAACATATTGTTTTGTCTTCGGCATGAACGAAATAACAAATAAAACACTGTAAGAAATCCCATTGAATGAATTCTTGTTTTCAATTGTGACAAGAAATGTGTCATTGTATGTTATGGACAATACCCATGAATCATAGAGCCATAATATGTAACTTTGGATAATGATTCCCCATCTAGGTTGTGCATACAAATGTATGGTACATTTTTTTTTTCCCCACACCATGCATGTATAGATAATGGAAATGTGAACAAAGGATGAATATATCTTAGAGCTGCCTCATTTAAGAAATGATTGCACCAAAAAAACATGTCGGCCTATGACTAGGTTTAATTTTCTATTAATATAAACCAACAATACCAAATGCCTGCTAGATAAACGCCTGCTGATGGCTACTGCACAATACTGGGTAATTCATTTTCCAACATTTCATTCTTGAAATGCTAATTCTGACACAACCTCTCATTAGAATCTAAAGCTTTCCTTGTCGATATATTAGAGTTACAGCGTGACAGGGTTTTGCACAAGGGCTATAGTGAATACACTATATTGACATGACTGGATCAGGATGGTGGGTGATAAATGCTGAAGCAAAATAAAACTGAGAATGGGAGCACATGCCATGGTTAATAAATATCTTACCACACTGACCACCATATTGATAAAAGTTGTAACCAAGACCTAAGGCAGGCAGGGAATGTATAGGGATAACAGAAAATCTAAGTTGATTTCATCAAAACAACAGAAAAAAAAATAATGAGAATAATAACAGAAACATCAAACAAAAGTTGAATGGAAGATGTGTTTGTTACCATAGGAAAAATGAGATAGAGAGAAATAGATTAGATAGACATCTAGAAATATCAAGTGAAAATGAATTCTTGAGTTTATTCAATTATTTAAGTGTCGGCATATTAAAGATGAAATAAAAATAAACATGAATTCAAATATGTATAATTATGAATAATATTGATCAAATAGAGCAAACGTAATAAAATCTATTATCTATTTATGAACTCAAAATACACTAGACTGCACTCGTTGAAATAGTTATAAAGTGTACTATATCAAGTTTGCAAACACATGCAATGACATGAGCAATGACGGTAAAAAACACATTAAAACTCAATCTCATTGTACTCCAATAGTTGTGGTTTGAGTTAACAACATGGTGCTAATGATGACTGTGAATCGCTCTCCATAAATCACAATATTTTCAGAATTGATGAAAGTCATAAACTAGATAGATGATAAAAACACTGTCCTTGATGCTATTTCTAGCATTTGAGAAAAGAAGTAGGAATAGCAAGGTCAAGCATTGTGTCCAGATGAACTGGCTAATGGGTTTTATAAGGCCTGTGTCAAAGTCTATTATAAATTATCTTTTAATTGAAAAAAAAAAAACCTTATAGATACCTTGGATACTTGAGAATATCTACATTCCATAGTAAAAATAAAAGTTTATATTTAATTACATTCGTGTCTATTTTTTTTTATCTGACTCAATTTTTATTTGATTACATCAAAAGTTGTGCTCATTTCTGCCTTTCCAAAATAACAGGCAAATCCTATTTATACATAAATTAAACAAAACAACACCTAAACAAAATACTTTACTCATTTATTGTTTTACTTTTTACCTACTCTTTTATCATTATTTCATAACTTTAACGTAGCTATATTTTTCTCAAAACAGAAACTATGCCACAAGGATCTCATCTCTTTATTCTTCATTCAAGATCGATATCTTCTTTATTTTTTATTTTAAAAAAGAAGATGAAAAAGAACACAGGACAACAAGCTCCAACTTTTAATATAAAGAATGATCGGAACAATTTGGCAACCCAGTGTACATTTCTCACGACACCTAGCCCTACATCCCAAGGGTACATGAAACATTTCTTTAAATGGAGGGCCTGGTAATCTGGTATAGAACCAAACATCACTACAGAGCTTCTCAAGTCACTAGTCCAGCTAATCTCTCACTCCATTCATACCCACAACTTGGTGCACCTTTCCGCGCTCTTTTGTCAAGCGAAAGCCCTATAAGTAGCTAGTACAAGTCCCCCCAAAAGAAAGAATGAAAGAAGAAGAAGGAAAAAAAATGCATCATCTGAAAGTGCTGGATGACACTGTAGTGTCTCTGTTCTATCACTTCGTTCTTTTCATCCCGCTCTTCTTCCCCCTTCCACGGAAAGTTTCAGTCCCATTTTCTGAATGGAGGGGGTACCTAGCGTTCCCGTTGGAATGTCGGAATAGCTGGGAATCGAACAATGCGCCTCTCTCATCAAAGAGAGTCGCTCCATTCTCCCCCGTAAATCTGATAAGATTTGTACGATTTAGAGAGGCTAATACTGGTTATGTGAAGCTGTCCTATTCAAATGTAGCAGTTACAACTACTTTTGCAGCACACTCCAGGCAATTGAAATCTCCAGGGGAGGCCCTACACTCGTAGCAATTCAGCTCATTCAGAAAATCCTCTACATAGTCTTCACATTTATCCATGTTCTTTAATACAGGGTGCTTTTGGAATGAGAATTATGCTAGTATTCTCACCATGGTGACAATTTCATTATCCTAATATGAAGTTTTAATGTTCCAATAAATGTTATAACTCTTTCAAAGAGTACAATGAAAGCAAAAGAAATGTTGGTCAAGGCCATGAATTTGGTGAAAATGATTTTTTTAAATTATTATTTGATTTGTCTCAAAATAAATCTTTTGTTTTTCATGTGACATGTGAAAAACCAATATTCCATGAGTCATGGACCATGACCATCTATAAATTCCACATTTCACTCTAATTTTCTTGGGTATCTTCCTATCTATAACATTTTTAATAGACTAATTTTGCATTGCTAAATGCCTTCAGTAATTCACCCTTTTGCAAACAAGTAACAACAAATATGAAAAGAAGAATTCAATTTATTGAACTCTCCAGTTACATTTCATGCACAATACGATAACGACAATTTTTCATCCTGTGCATTAAATACACCTCCCACACACTTAACAAAGCCAGGCTTCAAATGTTCACTTCTGCATAATAGAGAAAGATTACATGTGTCATCCTTCTGGATAGTAAATCTAAAAAGTGCTTTAGTCTTCTTTTTCCTGTTTCTAATCCTCCCTCCTCTTCATTTTTGTTTCATTTCCTTCTTTATTTCTTTGTTGATAATGGTCAATGGTTTCCTTTAACCAGAGAAACAGGTGTTCTCCCACGTTTTAAATTCTCATTAATATCCATGCAGAAAATAATTAGTTTAATTATGTTTTCAAGACTATAACAAAACATAAAAATAAGTATTGTTTATGTTTTCTTGGTTTCTTGCGCTATTAAGTACTGCTATAATGCCCAATCTGTATGCTGAAAGTACATTTCTTTTTGGGTGATAATACCATATGTCTATGAAGCAATATAGAACAGAAGTACATTGATATATTATAAATGTATTTAATATTAATGTACTAATTCACAATCAAGAACAGAAGGAAATCATACAAGTTAATGAAAGCAAAGAGTTTGGTTAATATCGAAGAACTGTCAAACGATCAAAAGTAAATGTGATATAAACTGAAGAAGTTATATCATTCCTTACAAAAATGATACACTTTCAAAGTAAATCATATCAGAATATAAAAAGATTAAGGATTGGTTAAAGAGTAAATGTGATTTACACTGTGAAAATTCAACCACACCTTACAGAAATTATACACTTTCGAAGTAAATTATATCAGAAAAATATGTTGAATTATAAATGCATAATAAAGATTTAGTTCATGAGCCATTCAGCAATCAAGAGGAGTTTGATGAAAAGAAAGAGCTTACCTATCGTGGCCTGTTCTTTGACGGCTTGTGCCATCTCATCGATACCTTCAATCTGGGGTTTATTGATGCTTCCGCGAGCTTCTGCTATCAACTTTCTTGCTCTTACTTTCAAATCTTCTTTCCGCTTTTCTTCCTCCTGGTTGATAACATATATGGAGAATTAGTATAAATGGAAAGTATTTCCAATGTTCACCATCACTTGTAAATCCAATGTAAAGCATCATGCAGATCACATTGAGATGTTTTATACAAGGATAACAACTAATGGGGTTTTATGGACAATAACATTTCAACTAAAATAAATAAATAAATAGCAAAATTGCCATATTATGATGATGGTGATGATGATGCTGATGGAGAATTTTCAAGACATAAAGATTAAAATTAATAATTGTTCATGCCAATTAAAAATTTAAAAAAAATTAAAAAAATTATTGAAAGCATATACTAACTGAATCACTTTAACATGTGCACATGTTGGAATTAATCGATATGATAGATTTATTTAATTGGCCAATAAACAAATATAGTACTTCGGATGAGACATACTAGTTATATTACATCCCCAAAATAGACCAGTTCACGGTTAGCACCTTACTGCAATGACCCCGAATATCCACAGATCTTCAAAACATAAAGAGGTCCCACTTTGTACATTTTGCAATAATCACTCCTACAGCGATGGAGGTGCTATAAAATAGCCTTTGTTTCCCCTTTTACAAAGAATACTTCCACCTGTGCATTATGGAGTGCATTAATGAATAATGATTACTTAACTTTCAAGAGCACGTATCCAATATTTTGTCTCCGTGTATTTCAAAATTTGTTCTGCATTGACCTTTATCTGCTCATGCTCAGACTGCAACCGTGAACTGGCTTATTATTCATGCACTTTAAGCGAGCAACAAAAATATCCATTCTGAGATGAAATAACAATTGGCAACAAGACACACTGCAACTACAAATATTCATCTTCCTATTCCTATATCACAGGTATACAGAAGTAAACAGAATTCACAAACAAACACAAGCCTGAAGAAAAAACACACACCACAGAACACGAATCAAACATGTCATAAAAGGCAGCACAGTATCTGTACCACGTATGAAATATGCTTAATCCCTTGACATAATGTAAACATTAAAACATTTCATACATGTAAGTCCCCTCATCTTTTCTATCATAATCGGCTGTACGAATTCATATAATTCATGTACATACAAAGTGAATACGAAAACTGAATTGCTATTGATTACAAACCAGAGTCAGTTGCAAATCACTCAACTATTAAAATCCCACTTGCGTTTAAAAATTGAAAGCATGTTCCAGATTTCAAACAAGTCTCCTGACACAATACAATAAAGTGCTTTAAAATCCAATATATGGTTCACATTCAGCAGATGCGATATAAGCAGAGAGCAATTGACACAGAAAAGAATGACATAAGAAGATCACACATTTTCCATGTATTTGAGCTGGGTATTATGTGCAAAAATAGACCCAATTCGTTGCTACTACTTTGAAAATAACAAACGCACAACACTTTGCACTTTCCATCAATGGAAGTTTGCCATCTGGACTTTCAAGATATGAGTAAAGTGAAGGTCAAAAGTAATACAGAAAAGTTACTTGATGTTCCTGACTGTATGGGAATAAGAGTTAAATCTCTTCGACCTCTAAGACAAATTTCTTTGGCCTACATCTTGATATTTCTATCTTTCTATCTTTTTTTCCCCCCAAAAAAATGAAGGCAGCTGTTTGTTTCAAATCCCACATCATGCTCTCTTTTAGCCTAGCATTCAGTCTGGGCAATTATATTTTTCATTCCTTCTCATTAAAATGAATTACATTTAAAATGTATTTAATCTCACATCTCCTCCCCCCCCCCCTCTCCCTCTCTCTCTCTCTCTCTCTCTCTCTCTCCTCTCTCTCTCTTCTCTCTCTCTCATTAAGTTTCATTTTCATAATTCCCACTTCTCTTTGAACTTATATCTCTGTCACTGTCTCTCTTCTCTTTCTCTCTTTTTGGTTTCTTAGATGCCCCCTCCCTTTCCTCCTCCCCCTCTCAAGTCTCTTCCCAAAATAGTATGGCAAGAGCCAGAAGGGCACAACTCTTTGTTAAAGAATAGGAGTAACACCCTTCTGGTTCTAAGCAGGTGATACGTTCCAAGCCATTACCTCATTTGCATCTCCATCTTGCTGCGACTGTTCTCTCTTTAGAGTGGCTCTTTTGAACGCCGCCTCCTTCCTAGCGAGCTCTAGTAATCGCTTAGCTCGCTCCTTTAAATCATCCTCTTTGGACTATAAAAGGTACAAGCAAGACAAGAAGTGCAATGGATACATCAGCCAACACATCATCTGTTGAGAACCAGGAGGGCGTTAACTCGACGGCAAGAGGTAGGAGTTAACGCCCCTCTGGCTCTCGGCAGATAATGGTATACAGGGCAAGAGAGAAATGAAAGGTGAGTTTTGCAAACTGGCAACTATTTGCAAACCTGTACTCCGTAAAGAATGAGAGAGACCATTTATGGTAAATGTTGTCCTACCAACGGGAACCTGTAATTAATTATAATCGTCATTCAAGTCTTAATCGATAGAAAAGGACATTTATAACAGCACAAAGCTAGCTAACATTGATCAAACATTACAAACTAATCAAGGTTCTAAAAGTTCAGAGAATTTCATAAATTCTAATTCATATATATGGTCAAACATAACAAACTATTCAACATTATGTAGCAGAGTCTCAAAGAACACATGATCGAACATACACTACTTAACATTCTAATATTCACACAGCAAATCAGGAAATCTATTTGATAATACTTGGTGCACTAGGAGTTTAATTGAACATAGCCGGCCTACCTTTTGTGGCGCTTCCCCATCCCCTTTTACATCTTTCTTGGCCATAGCAGATGCTCTGAACCAGACCTGGTCTCCAGCTGCTCCTATAGGGCTTCCAACCTTTCTCCCGTTCTCTGCAGGAGTGTCTGTAGGAGTCCTATTCTTATCCGAATCCACCCCATTTGATTCTGGCTCTTTATCTCTCGATTTCTGTTTGGTGAGTCTCCTCTCCACCTTGCTACCGGCACTCTGCAGCTTGTCCGATAGCCCGTGGCTATTGCTGTCTGAGTTCTTCATGTTCATGGTGTCCACCCCCTCCACCGTGTCCTCCCCACCCTCTGGGGAAGTCTTCCTACTATTGGGTCCAGACTTAGTCGGTGAGCCAGGGCTCTTTGGTACACTACTAACCCCATTTGAAACAACCTCTTTCCCGTTCTCTGTCCTCTCTCCGTTCGCCACGACCCTGTCATCATGGATGACGTTGGTTTCCTGCGCAAACACATCTTCTGGCATGGACTTGTCCGACGAGTAATTTCCAACAATGTACGTGCTCTTTTTCGTTGCATTACCGATCCTCTTGACTTCTAGTTCGTGGCCAGTGAAGTGCGCCCTCAGTTGAAAGAGATAGGTCATGACGGCGAGTTTGTCCGGTACAGCCAGAAGGACCATGTCTTGAGGGTCCAGAAGTCTTGGAATGCCACAGGCAGCAGCGGCATCAAAAGCCTGCAGGATTTAAAAGTTTTATAAGAAAATATCAAATTATGTAGGATAATTACATTAATTGTGGCAGGATTGGTCATTATGGGGATCATTAAAAAAAAAAAATGATTGAGCTATGCATAAAATTACAGGGGCATTTACATACTTTTACCAACAAGAAAAATAATTTAACCTGGAGGGTTTCATCCTGTACAGGTCAGTTGCATAAACCAGCTGTTCTTTTTCTTTCATTATCATGTACTATAAATATAAATATATATATATACATATATTCAAGGGAGTTAATACAAAAGCAATGAACACTTATAATAATTGCATCTCCTAATTATTTAAAAATCCAATTTCAAGGTGTTGAATACATGAAATGGTGACTTACATTAAACCCATTAAGTACATGGATTCATAAAAGCATGATCTACAGGTACATGCATCTTACCGGAGCAAATAAATCCCATAGAATCGCTTATTGATATATATATATATATATATATATATATATATATATATATATATATATATAGCTTTACCACATTCACTCTCAAATTTACACAAGTTTAACAAAGTGTAACCAGGAAAAGTATTTTCTTATTCTCTATTTCATTAATACTAAATATTACATATTACACAAAATATGCATTTTGACATTGTTTTATAGAAGATTTCTAATTTTAGTTATAATATTTTGTATAATAAATGATAACCAAGTTTGATGATACAAGAGGCTTGAAGTGACAAGCTACAATGAATAGACATTAGGCAGTGAACTGTAAAATAACACATGGGAGAGGAAATGTTATTGTTCAGTGCTTCAAGCACCAACTCCACATTGTTATAAAGCATAAAATAATATTTCAGAGGCAAGAAAGAATAACAACTTTAATGGAAAGGGAATTTCTAGGACATCAAACACCACAGCTCCAGTGTTTATAATGTCAGAGTTGAACTGCACCTAGGCCCTAAAACCGCACACGCAATATTACGCTGCTTCAATAAAACTTGACTTGAGAAAACAAACCTTCTTGTTGTTCCCCTTTATATCATGCGGTGACAGTGATGAAAACTCTCTGCAAGAGGACAGGCCGAAAAGGGAGAAGGGGAGAGAGATGGAGGAAAAAACAAGAACGGTTAAATATCAATTAATTTTGGTAAATCTTGCAAACACCCTACTGAGCTGTATTCTTTGTTAATGTCGGAGCACGCCCCCGGCGCCTCCTACCTCTTTGGCAGCTGGGTGGAACACACAAAGTGCAAGTGTTATTCCACCAGCCGCAGTCAATACCAACTCATCAGCAAAATCATTTTTGGGGAGGGATCATCTTTCACGCCCCCCTGGCGCTGGCTCGGCGCTGCTGACTTCCCAAGCTCGGCTAGCTGCAGCAGCTCCGCGCTCTGTCGTCTCCGCTTTGCCTTTCCAGGAGGATACAATTCACTGGCATTACGCCATCTCGGTCAGCGTAACTGGATAGGGGGAGTTCCCCTGAGCTATTAGTTCGGTTAAAAGGACCTCATTAAGTAGCTCATCACATCACAATCATGGTACTGGTGCCCTGACTTACAAGGCTATTTAGTTAGGAATCAATCAGCGTCGTCCTGTCTAGCTACCTGCTATGTACCAGACGTCCACAATAGTTCATGGGATTTATTAATTGTCCAATGCAAGACAATACAATTTTCAATACTGCAGTCATACCAAATTCATTAAGAAACAGGGCACCATTACACAATGTTTCCTTAAATGAAATCTATGTCTTTCATAATGACATGTTACATGTATGTATACACAACAAAGACAGGAGATAATAAATCTCGGATCAAAATGCTATATTCCAAGAATTATAACACATCGACATAAGAACAGCAGATGACCTCAAATCTACTCCAACAACTTTCGCTCCCAACTTATTTTGTGATAGAGACAGGGATAAGGTTGGGTTATGATTAGGGTAAGGGATAGGTACAGTATGGTGTTTGGTCCGGGGTTGAAGTTGGATAGTTTTAGAATTGCTTCTGAAGCATGAGCACACACACATACACACACAACAAAAAATCTCATTACAGGCATTTATCTTAATCACTGAACTTGTTATCATGTTACCTTCTACATGCTGAATTATAAGGGGAATAAATGAAATAGAAATTATATCGGAAAATATTTCCAACAATCAAATAGTTACTGGTAAAAGTTCTAATCATGAATGTGTACAATGTATTTAATGACTTTGTATATTTAAAGCTTAATAACCCAATGTGGATTTTGTTCTGCTTTCACTGAATCATGTAACTACAGTGCTGTGTAATGTAAACCTTACCTTTGCACAAAAGAAGAAAATTCATTTCATTTACATATTAGTCTGTATGCAATTAAAAAACAATTAAAAAACATTAAAACCATTGTGCAAAGGTAAATGTACCATTCAAGGAGCTTGACTGTCAGTTTTAGATTTTAACAATAGTTTCATACATACATGTAGATGAAATCTTTAAACAGTATGTATATCAGTGTGTATCAAGACATGAGGATAAAAAGTTGATCATGAATTTGCATACGATTTCCAGATTATAGAGTGACTTATGAAAAACAGAACTCCCACTCACATTAAATCGGGTCGATGCCGATGAATGATTGCACAGAAAGCTAGCCCGTTCCTCCATGAGGTCGTTAGGTTGGTGACCTTGACCCCACGGTAACCTTTGGTGACCTCTTGACACCAGAGCAAGAGCTGCTGGCTGGGTGCATTCTTGTTCAACTTTAAAGGGCTACCACTCTCTTTGCCTGTTCTGGAACGTCGGCTGGGACTGGCAGGGATCTGTGTGTGTGGGAATGAAACATTAAATACAGATACCCTATGAAATTTTGTTTCTTTATCTTTAACTTATTAATTTTTTTGTACCTTGTCTTTCAGAATATTGATAAAAAATCAAATTAAATGAAATAAAACCAGTAGAATCTTGAATTGGTTGTGTCATGTATCCATACACTGACAATTCTTTTTGTTGAATTTTATCTTTTAGGATGAAGGAATTTTATTCAGAAAAATGATACATAAGTATTTAAATGAATAAAAAATAAAAAATAAAATCAAATCAGAGTAAATCAATATGTTGATATCTGTACTGTCACAGACCCAATTTTGTATCTTATTGTTCATTGAAGAATTTAAAAAATAAGTAATGATAAATTTGCGGTCTATATACGATTATATAGAGTTAGTAAATTAGGTATGATAATTCTAGTATTTTGGGAATATGTATAACAGAAGGAATTGAACAATATATAACAATATACATTTACAACATTAAAGAGCTTTCAATGTTCACATCACACATTTATCGCATAAACTAAAAGGTCATATTCAAACAATTCAGTTAAACCCAACTCTTGGTCTAAGATTATGATTAACATAAGGAAGACTTAGACCTTAAACTAATTTCCTTTCTTAAACCAATTTTTTAAACAAAGATGACAAGCCAAGGTGTTAGGTATAATCTTAAACAACAATTTGAAAGTTGTGAAAACAATTGTTTCTTTCTCTTGAGGGATTTTAACATTTTCAGCAAAAAAGTGAAAGTGTTTGCCTAATGCATATCGAAATGTTTCAATTTAGAGAGAGAAATTCATAATACATTCCTTTGTTTTCTAAGAGCGCTCTGTAGAGGCAGATGCATGAGGTATGGTAAAATTACCTACAAATTTCACCTCTTTTAGAGAGAGTGTTTGTATCCAGTTGTTGATTTTTTTTCTCAATTAGTTAATTTCTTGTCCCAAGCTACATTCATCACCGCAGACCTCAAGCCAATATATAGTAACGTTTCACAAAACCACACTTTGCTCATCATTCTACATACCTACGTGCAGGGGAAGGATAATAAAAACGCTGAAAATTGTAAATGTGTTTGTAATAAATGTGAATCAAGATAAATTAGTCACAAGAATGATACTGAGATTTACCCATATCAGTACAGAAAATACTTCCAATAGGATGCAAAATGAGATGAGTGATAATAAGATGATCATATATATCATAGATACCTCGTGCAAACAAGACACATAACACAACATGCAAATATATATAAAGTAACTGATTTTGATAGGAATTAATGCAAAATCAATGGGAAAGTGGTGGGTAAAAACAAAAAAAGGAGACACCTCAATACAAAATAGGAAAGAGGAACTTCTACAAGTGAAGGACATCATCATAGCCATCCCAAAAGAAGGATACATCAACCATAATGAAACTCCAAAAGTGTGCAGACAACTGAGAATGATGAAGATTAGGTGGACACTCCCATGCACATGCTATCTGTCTGTCTATGTGCAAGTATGTTACCCAAGATCTGGGGCTGGGGGTCGGTTTCTCCCTGACTTCTTCTTCTTCTCCGTCTCCTTCCATCGGAATGGGGGACTGTCTGGGGGCTGCCACAACAGAAGATGCAGCTGAGTGAGTGGGGGACGGAGAGCGGCTACTTACAGGTTCGGCGGTTGCCGCGGCAGCCCATCCGCCATCCTTCTTGGGGGGCTGCGGAGAGGAGGGGGACGAGTTGGTTCCGCCGCCGGCCGGAGGTTGAGGTGCTTTTCGTTTTCGCTGCTTCTTGTCTGCACTGCTGGAAGAATTCCATCAAGAAAATAGAAGTGAAGGATGTATGTTATTCTATACATGAAAATATACCAAAATGTCGGAGTACATACACGATTCTTGAAAGTTACCCCTCCAAAAAGTTTGGGGTCATCTGCTCCTGAGAGCAACAACATTTACACACATTTTTTCACCTAGAGTTAACAATCTTCTGGATCTCACCTCAGACAACTTTATGGGGATTATTCACATTCCAGGAAAGAATTTTCCCTTATTCTATCTTCTAATGTAGGTACTAAAAAAATATCATATGGGTTAAGAGGAAACTTTTAAAGATCATCTGTGTTTATATTCCACCTTAGAATGTCTTACAATAAATTATTATTCTAATCATAACATGGAAATTTTTTTTTATGGGTTATGATTACTCTTTATGATTTGAAAGAAAAAACTATGGAAGAAATGAATCTTGTCACTCACTCGTCATAGTCTGCTGCATCAGCTATCATATAAGGCATTCCAAAATCAGAAGATGCTACAGGTGTACTAGGGGTTAAGGAGACGGTTGGCGTGGTAGAATCAGACGAGGGCGATATATCATCCCTTTCTCTGAGCTCCTGCTGGTAGTTTGCTCCTCCATCGTACTCAAAGTCGTCCAGACCCTCCCCGCCGGGCTCGTAGGAGTCTTCCAGGGCGTCGGCCGAGTCGCTGTTGAAGGAGGCATCAAGGCGCGTCGGCCTGCCACGGGAATCACACTTCAGGAACGGGTCACCTGAATTGAGGGAAGAAAAATAGATAAAATTTTTCGTATTTAATGTGAGCTGTTTACTAAAAACAGGACAAAGTATCAAACATTTTTTTTTTTTTAAGGCAACATTTTTGTATTAATGATAAGCTATCTACTAAGAACAGGACAAAAGTGACATACAGTTCTTTTTTTTTTTTTTTAATAATTATTTTCTTCATATATAAAAGTAGTTAAAAGTCATGGTTAAAAGATAATGAAAATCTTACAAATATATGGATTGTCTTATAAATGTGTACGAAAGAGTCCACCAAAAGAAAAAAAAATGGTCACACCTAAATAAAAAAAAATGTATTTGTCCTTTAGAAAATTGCAGTATACAGATAAACTTTATTATATTCTACATGTATCTCTCTTTTCTTTAAAAAGAAATGAAATATTTCCCTTTGCTGTCATGTAATCTTTGATTAATATCAATCTTCTAGATGTAAATTTTCTGGAAAATATTCAATAAGTTTATAGACCCGTTTATTTAGCCAGCCATCGATCCATCTGTTCATCCATCATTCATATACCAATTAATTCATCTTCATGCATCTTTACAACCACTCATCAATTCACTCATGTACTTATATACCAATTGATCCATCCATCTACATATCCAATCATCAATTCACCCATCCACAAATCAATCTACTCATCATTCTTTTTCTACAAACTGAACAACCCTCAAGGACCCTTCATCACTCCACCTCCCCCTGCATTTCATTTCCATCCATGTATCAGAATTCCTCTCCAGCCTTGGATGTATGATGTATCTAGCCCATGTTTTCATACCCCTCCAAGAGTGAGCTGTACTTTTGCCCACTTGTTTTTCACCCCCTGACCGAAACCTGAGCTCCTGAGACCCGGTTCTTGGGGTAGGTAGGAGGTGCATTTCACCCCGGTGCTAGTGTTTCACCGCTTAGTGGTGTTTGTGTGGCTAGGTGGTGTAAGGTGAAGACCGGCATGAAATATTGCACTCTCAGCCAGGGAACTTTTCTTTTTTTATTTATTTCATATTACAGTAAGGACACAACATAAGTGAAGGACTTATCACAAAAAGGGGTGGGACTAGGACGTTGCCATGAAGACAAAAAAGGAATTTACATTTATTAAAAGATATCAAAATATATTTTAACATCATACAACAACAAATGGAGAATGTGATTGCAAAAATTAGAGAAAGAATTGGAAAAATAAGGGGGGCACTGACTTTGAGAGCAACACAAAGGTAAAAGGTATTGGATCCTCCTAGCACTCTTTAAGGAGTATGTGAAATACATCTTTAAGTAGCACTTGACACAATTGTATGAGCAAGTTGCAAAAGAAGGAGAGAGAAAGTGCACCTTTTGGAAACTTTTTCTTAAAATACCTTTCATCTCTATTCTACTTAGCACTAGGGTTCATCGTACTTCAAAGCACTGCTTTCATTGCAACTCAACTGGCAAGAGTCCTACAATCTGTTTTCATCTATAAATCGTAACTCCTAGATCTGCTATTATTGTAGACAAATGTACAATGCACATCATAATTTTGCAAATGAATCAATAATTGAAACATCATTTCAACTTTGTCATAACTGAGAATTATTTTTAAAGCAGGTGTAATAGAGAGAGATATCATCTGTTTCAAGCCAGCATGGTGTTAGTTCTGTAAAAAAATTATATGAGTTAATGCCCTTCTGGCTCCAAAACGATGATATGTTTGAGCATACACATACATAATGTATTGTATGCACTAGATAATATTAACTGAAAAAAAACCTTCTTGAGCAAATTTTTTTGGCGCATCGACTTCAATACTTTAAAACATAATTTCTAGGTTACATTCCTTTAAATCTGTAGTCAAAGAACACAAGATTACATCCCAGTAAATAAATCTGTAGTAAAAGAACACAAGATTACATGTCAGTAAATAATATGACTCTTTTTTTAAACAAATTGAATAAATCTATAATTCAACCACATGATCACTAAGCACTTTATAAATTGGTTCGTGGAGAAATGGATTAATATTAGTGAGGCTTAATTCCAGTAATTCATTTCGCAAACATTCAACTAAGTCTGGAGAAATTCTTGTATTTGGTCACTTCACATCAGAAATATATTTACAAAAGAAAAAAATTGCAAAGGAAAAACACAAACTTCAAACTGATTTGAAAATATCTTCTTCACCAGGATCATGCTATTGAACATTTTTTTTTTCAAATTAAAGAGCAGCTTTTTGTTGTAAAACTTGAAGGCAGAAAAAGGAGGAACAATTCATAATGATTAGCACAGCTTAATTATGTTCTTTCAACCCGTTTCATTACGGAGCTTTTTTTCTTCCAGAGCAGGGATTAGCATAAAGAAGAAACAATCAATTTCAACTTTCTTTATTTTACCACCGGTTCCCAGCTTTAAAATTCTGCATCTGTCTATCTCTTTCTTCATTTAAAATAATGGGGAAGGTATTATCTCGCTGATTTCCATGGTTTTCCATTTTTACCAAAACTCTAAGAAGCAGGTGACAAGAGGATAAGAGACCCGGGTGGAAGATGTTAGGACCCCCTTTTTTTACCCTGGAGGGAGAAAAAGATTATGATTTAATGACCAAGAGGGATCAGGGTCGATAATGCACTAAATCTGAAAATAATCAATTTGGGTACACACAAGACATAGCGGGCCAAAGAATAAACCCACAGTGTTACAACTGCCTGGAGCTTTGTATGTCATGGTGGTTTCTTTCCCCCTTCTTTTTTTAGGGGGGGGGGCAAGAAAGAGAATCAAATGAGGGAAAGAAAGAAGAAGATGACAGAAAGTGTTGCAAGAAGGAGGGGAGGGGGGGTGCTAAGAGCTTACAATTATTAAAAAAAGGGAACTGCAAAGTTTCAATCAAAGCCTTTCAAGATGAGTCGCACAATAGGATCTAGTTCGCAGCAGCCTTAGAGCAATAACCCTGCAGGGTAATGTGGGGCGCAAAGCCGCTTTAGGAGTGGGGATCATCCATTGTAATGGTCACTCTATGGTCACTACAATCACCAAACTCAAGTCAAGAGACAAAGAACACGATCTGACACATTGTAAGCTTTGTCCGCTCAGTTGTAACTCTACTTGAGAAAGTAAAGAGGTAAAAAAAAAAATGGTTCTGATGAAGAAAAAAAACGAGAGATGAGATGAGGTGAAGGAAAAAAAAAAGCTGGAGATAAAATGATGAGGCCAACGCCTCCCTGTCTTTTGATTTGACATCTATTCAGAAGTTGTGGGATTGTATAGGAAGACCCTATAACAATAAGACAGAGCTAGGGATGATTACATAATGCTTCTCACACCATTGTATGCTCCTGACTAAATCTCTCCTATTCAATTTCCTACCATCACCCTCTTTTTTCACTCTTTTTATCGTTCGACTCTATAAACTAATTTTACTCCTTCGTTTCCCTCTCTCAGAACACCCCCCCCCCCCCTTCAAAGAAAAAAAAGGGAAAAGTACATTGAAGGGTGAAAGACTAATCTACTAGGCCAGAGTATAGGCAAGAGTATGAGGAAATATAAGCATGAGGTGGAGAGAGAAACATAGAGGGGGTATGGAGAGTAATAGTTTTGTTAAAAATGATGAAAAGAATGAGAGAAATAATAAGAAAAATAGTAAGAATATATGAGAGTAATAGAAAAATAATAAGGGAAAAGGAGAGGGAAAGTGACAACAAGAAATAGTTATACAGAGTCTGATAAGTGGACTGTAAAGCAGAAATAGAGCTACAAATTGAAAGAGAGAGGGTGACATAGAAAGAGAGAGAGAGTGAGAGAGAAGTAAAGGGAGAGAAAGAGAGAGGGAGAATGGGATGACAAGAGCAACGAAGCATACTTCCTAAGTATGAAGAATTACAGGGACATGAATTCATCTGATCAAATCCTCTTACCCTTCTATCAAATCAAACTAAATAAATAGCTGTGACAAGCAGACCAACTGTCTGTTACAACACTAACTGACACCCCAACTAACTTCATTTGAACTTAAAAATTACCAGAAAATACAGTAAATGTCAGCAAATCCTTATAAATGGACATGGAATTATACACATCAATTATGTTACAAGAAAATGCTTTGTCTCTACACAATACCATTCTTCTTTTTTTGTAACATGCCTTAGAATTTCAGGATTTGGAGATATGGAATACAAACATAAGCAGATCAGAGCAAATTCTTCATCTGTTCAGGAATGCTCAAATTAAAGTGTCATTTATCAACAAACCCTGATTTTACATCATACATAAGTAGATCCCTAAATATCGATCAAGCACTGACAAGAAATAAAGTTGATCAAATTTAAATGTTGGTCAAGGTGACCTATTCTGAATAAAATGTAATGTTCTCTAGTTGGGGTCATCCCCTGACCCCACCCCCCCCCCCCCTCCATAAAAAAAAAAAAAAAAAAAAAAAATCTTCAATTAGCTTGAAGCTACGGCGGGACAGTATTGGTCAGGCTTATCTGTCCGGCCAGATAAAGCATTTTGCTCATTATTTTCTCCCCTTTGGTTTTGTTTTTTTTTTTTGTATTATGAGATTTACTAATACATATATAACCTTTGTCTGGAATTTCAAAAGACATAGCTTTATAAATGCAAGATATCTACAATTAAGGGATTCGACTGCATCACTAGAAATCATTGGTAATAGGAGAATCTTAACATTCAACAGCGAATATATGATTTATTGGAGTGCAGGTGTATAACAATGTACTGTTAGAAGATATATCCTACCTTCTAGGTGTATTTAAAAAAAAATGAAGAAAATAAGAATAGACATTATTCAACCTTTTCAACACAGTGCACCATCTTAAAATTCATTTTATAATCCAAACTTGATGAATATCCAGTAGGAACATGAGAAATACACATAATAGGGGTATGAGACTGTGAGTCACTTCTATTAAAGTCCTAGTTCTGTTTAATCAATTCAATTAGACTGATTTTTCAGTCATGAATAACATCTTCACATTAAATTAGTTTGACCCGCTAAAATCACTAACAAATTGAATAAACCTTTATTCTTTTCAAATGACAGAATCTCTCTTAAAAACCTATAGAGGGAAGCATCTAGTAATTGGCTGAAAATTGAATTACAGTAGATTAACTGAGAAGGTGAAAATTGGCAGTCAATCGTGTCACTATTTGCCACTTGCAAGAATCTATCAGCACAAAAAAAAGTATTGACTCAATCAAGAAAACATAGCTGCCCTGCCCCTCCGAATTAGCACTGCTTATTGAAATCTGCGAGACCCATTCGACTCATTAATAATTCATCAGGGCTTTGCAGCTGAGTGCTAAACAGCAGTAGGCACCGATTTGGGCTTTCATAAAAACAGATCAATATGGATTTCTGGGCGGCAGCCAGGCCTTGCCGCTGATGTGGAATCGGTTGAGAACAAAGCAAACCGCTGACCAAGAAACAAACACTATTTCTTAGATAATTGTTGCAAATAGAATGGCATCTCAGAACAGTAGTAGATAACAAGACCTACTTCCAAGTGAAAAATAGAACTCTTATCAAATAAAGGTTTAGGATCAGAACACATTAACATATCTTGAAATAATTAAGGAATGTCAAAGGACCCTCTGTATAATTTTAAATCATATTATTTTTAACAACAAACTATTTTGCTGGATATTCAATTATTATTATTATTATTATACATTGTATGTAGGAACTATCAAGTTGGTATCTCTCTACAGACTTTTATTTTGGCTTTAATAAATGATCATGGAAAGAGAGAAGGACAGATTGCCCCTGGAAATAGACAACAGATGCACATGATTTGGGCTTTCATAAAAACAGATCAATATAAACAACAGATGCACATGACATCGGAGACACACATGAAATGCTACTGAATATTTCAATTTTTTTCAGTGCTGAAATGCATGTAATGTTGTGGCCCGCATTACTGACATCATCTTTCTTGCAATAATACACACCAATACCATCAACACCATAACTACACCACAATTGTTTACTTCCATCATCATCATCTGTATTATCACAATTACTGCCATCATCTTTCTTGCTATAATACACACCAATATCCCCATCATCATAATCATCATCAACACATTACCAGTATGCCCAACCGGAGTGTTGGCTCAGTCAGTAGAGCGTCCGCCTCACAACCGGGAGGTCGTGGGTTCGAACCCCTGCTGCGTCATACCAAAAGACGTTAAAAGATTGGAGTTGTTGCTACCTTGTTTGGCGTTCAACAATAAGGGATAGAGCAACATCGATCTGGCGCTGCTCAGTGGCTGCCGGGCTGACGATCAAATGGGCAAAAAGAATTTCCGTTTCGGTTTAATAAAATTTGGAGTGGACTATTAGGCTATTATTATTATTATCATCATCATCATCATTCCATGGGTGGCAGTTAATTTTACTCAATTAGCCCTGTAAGGTGTCCCAAACATGTCAGAGCCACATATCTGCTGACCAATATGGAGCCTGAAGAAAGCCAGAGAGGCCTGCATAAAGAGGTTCCAGGGCAAATATATCCTCAAAATTGGCACCTCTAGTATCTGATTTGTCTCCATATTCTTTTCACACTCAGGAACATCAATAGTACTATTTGATGTTCCTTCGATGCGAAAAGTTTTAGCTAGATCCTCGAGTGTCATTGTATATTTGGTTACTATTAATATCCTCACCACAGCTATCATTACCACCACCATCATCCTCATTCCGATCACCTCCCCAACCTTCATCGATATCATCACCACTACCACCACCATCACCATCACTACAATCATCATCAACACCGCCATCAACACCACCATCACCACCACCACCACCATCACCATAATCCTCATAACCACCACCACCAGCACAACTTGTTACCTGTATACTCCTCCTCTTCCAGGGCATCTAAAGCACTGAATGGATCCTCCGTGTTGTGGTCAGGCCCCATGAAGGTGTACTGGCTGGCCAACTCAGAGATCTTCTCCGACGTGAGGATCTCCCGATCAAACTCATCGTCCTCGTCGTCAAAGTCGTTGAGGTCGGCGATGTCCGGTTGGTGGAAACTCAGTATACTGGCGAGACTCTGCATGTCATCATCACTAGGAGTGGGGGAGATGGAGAAAATGTTGAGATTTTTACAGGCAGGGTTCAATGCTGACATGGGTAGTGGGGATACCTTTTGCAATTGGCAAATGGGCCCAAAATTAATAAATATTCTATAAAGAGATATAGTAGCACCCCCCCCCCCCCCCCCGTTTTTTAAATACAAAATATTCTCAAAATAACCCCCTTAAAAGTGAAGCCATGTCAAATTCAATGTTTTTCAGGTGAAATATGTTTTTCTTGGTGTATGAAGATTGTTTCTTTTTACAAAGAGACATGGTTTCATGGAAAATCAAAACAAGTGTTTCAATAACCATGAATGTTGTTTAGGTGAAATTGATGTATGAAGATTATCTCGGTTTAAAAAGAGAAATGGTTTCTAAAAAATCAAAACAAGTGTTTCAATAACCATGAATAAGAAATGGTTTCCTAGGGATCAAAACAAGTGTTTCAATATAAACCACGAATATTGTTAAGGTAAAATATATTATTCTTGGTGTATATCAATTGCTTCTTTTTACAAAGAGACATGGTTTCATGGAAAATCAAAACAAGTGTTTCAATATCCATGAATGTTGTTTAGGTGAAATATGTTATTCTTGGTTTATGACGATTATCTCTGTTTAAAAAGAGAAATGGTTTCTACGGAGTCAAAACAAGTGTTTCAATAACCATGAATGTTGTTATGTGAAATATGTTATCCTTGGTTTATGACGATTATCCCTGTTTAAAAAGAGAAATGGTTTCTACGGAATCAAAACAAGTGTTTCAATAGCCATGAATGTTGTTATTTGAAATATGTTATTCTTGGTGTATGACGATTATTTCTTCTTACAAACAGAAATGGTTTCTAAGGAATCCAAACAAGGGTTTCAATAACCATGAATAAGAAATGGTTTCTTAGGAATCAAAACAAGCGTTTCGATAGCCATGAATATGCTGGAGGGATATAAGTTATATATCTACCCATCTTGCCGGATATATATATTTCCTCCTACTGTAAATGCATTGTTCTCTTCTGAGAAACTTTACAAATTTATCAGCTTAAATAGAACTTTATCATAAACTGCAGGGTCAGGAACGTCTTTACACACGCTTGTTTCTTTAGATCTTCTTGAGATGTCCATTTCATTTCTTACTTTCCAACTTTATTCATCATCATCATATTTTATATATCAATTTCTGCTAATTGTGTTTAAAATATAAACACTCAAAATCTGAAATTCCACAAGAAAAGGGAATGAAATGCTTTGCCCATTCTCTATTTCTTTTTTTCTTCTTTTCCCACTCATCCATGTATGTAAATTCGATTTATTTTATGTAAGATGTGCAATATATTGAAGTTTCTATTACTATTATTGTTATTCTTTCCTTGAACTAATTTTGGACTCTTTTCCATGTTGATGTATTTGAAATTTTACTTTATATCTTTGAACATTTCAACTTTGTAATCTTTGTTGGTACCAGTCTCCCGACTGTTTTAACAAGGAATTTTCGATTCAATAAACCGAAATGAATATTACTGTTATTTCATATGTGCATCAAGTAAAGACATATTTCTACACCGATGATAGTGATGATGATGATGATGATGAGTAGAGACTTACGTAGCAGCCCCTTCCCTGAGCAGCATACAGGAAACGGTGAGTTCTAGGGATGCACTGATGATCTTCTTGCTCACAGGCTTCAAGGTTATCCTCTGTCTCTCCTGTGTCGGAACCATGCTGGCAAAGTCCTTCATGTTTATCACGCCCTGCGCTAGCACGCGACGCTTTCCTTTCTTGGCTTCCTGTATCAGAACAAGTTATAAATAATTCTCTGTAAAAATCAAAGACAAGTCGTAGTAATTCTTTAAACATGATCCTGTCAAGATCATTCGCTATTTCACACGCATCAGGGCATTCTTTGAAGTGGTTGCAACACTTTTCTATCTTTGTTTTCTGGATGATCACAAGGATGTAAAACAAATCTGTTTTGAAGAAGGAAGTAAAGAGCAGTGATGTATCACCGTTATTCTACATCTCTTATGCATCAGTGAAATTTTGTCATGTTGTTGAAATATTTTATAGCAAGAAATGCGTATCAATCTTCGTTTACTGTAGCATCACAAGGATGAAAAGCAAATCTATTTAAAAAAAGAGTAAAAACAAATGTTTGAACACAGATATTATTAAGGTTATTTATTCATGTTTCAATTTAATATGAAAGAACTTTTTATCTGTCGTGTTTGGTCGGCCTCAAGATAATCCTGATATCTCAAAATCATATTCACGCATTTGAAATGTTTAAGAATTTCGCAAGTGGTTCAGGCTTGAGAAAGTTTCATGCTGCAAGGAATTTTATTACAATTGACAAAATACTATAATTTTTGCAATTTCGATAAGTTTCTGCTGTTAAAATAACTCTTATTTTCAAATCATGAAAGTTTCATGTTACGGAAGTTTCTGGAAAAATAATCAAAATTTTCACTTAGGAAGCTCACACCGATACCAGTGTGTTGCGTCTGTGTGGCTGGGTTTAGCAAAAACTCCATTGATTTTTTTTTTTACTGCTGCAAGATTTAATCCTATCCAATCTGAACATTTTCTATGATACTTACATCTTCCAAAACAAAGAGCCATTCCTTGTCCTCGAATGGGGCATCAGCTCGATTCTCCTGGAAAAAAAAGGTGAAAGGTTGAAAAGTAGCAATTTAAAGAAAAGGAATACCAAATGCAACTTTATACCCAGGCTCTACCATCTTCCCCTTCCCATATCTTAGTACAGGCACCTACTTAACAGTCACACTTGTATAGTATCCTTTAAAGAGTGTTTTGTTCTCTCAAGCTGTGATGAAAAGTACTACTGGATCAGAGTCATATCAGACTGTTTATAACATTTCAATTGAAGAGTTATTTAAAAAACTGAAGCAAAGGACTGTGGTAGATTGATTAAAGGTTATTGACGCTCATATGAAAAGTCCTGGGTTGAGTACTTAGTTGGTGCTTATATCCTTGGACAAGGCCTTTTATGTTTGTCTGTCTCAGCCAAAGTTATATATAATTGTAAGTCCTCTTAGTAGACCGTTTTTTAAAATCATATTGAGGCTACCCTGGGTAAATATGACCATAATATTTGTATTCCTTATAACTATTTAAAAAAAAACATAAACCTAGATAATGAACCTACTCTGAACAAAGTAACAGTGATCTCCAGATTCTCCGGTACTGTCCAGGTTACTGTGCCCTTGTAGGGGTCTTTGATTCCAGGAACCCACTTGTGGAGCTGCAGGAAGAAGAAGAAGAAGAAAAAAAAGCAGTTGTGTTTAAATATTTTGAGGACACCATACATGATTCATATGATATATTCATGGGATAAAACAACAGCAAAAATTGAAATAAAGAAAATAAAGTGAATATAAATTTGCAGATATAAATGTGATACATTACTTTGTCATGTCTCCTGAAACCTACCTGGAATTTGTCTTGATTTGTTAGTGTGCAAAGAGTAGTTGGAACGTGTAAAACAAAATCTGTAGAGCCTCCAAATGTCCACATGGAAAGTTTATCAGCGATAAGAGTATCAAAATGATTCACTATATCTATTACACATTTCTTCACAAATACCATTTTAATCTGCTGCATTTTCAGGGGCAAAGAAAGACAATTACTCAACAATGCATGAGATCAAATTAAGCATTTAACAGATGCCATATACGGTATATGTACTCTAAATTTAACTGTGGAAAAAAGAAGAAAGACAAAAAAAAAGAGATATTTACCTCTGTTGATTTTTTTCTGCCTCTCCTTGTCCATATCATACATAATTTATCTGGCTGCCTGAAAAAACGAAGAAAAGAAAAAAAAGGGAAATTGTTAGGAAATACTTTCTACCTCTGGCATTTACTTCTCTAGAGGAAAAAAAACAAACAGCCAGCACCCACCACAATGGTGGCAAAGCAAACTGAATTTTTAAAAATTCTAGTTCAGTGATTATTGTGATATTACAACTACTTCATTCGAACAACAGCTTGAGCCCTTCTCATTAGAACATATGTATGCAATAACTATCTCTGAATTACAACAACAAAAAACACTTCAATATAGTTCACCAAGAACAAAACAACTTCAGATCTAACTGTGATAGTAAATATGTGATAATAAATGTGTTTCATTAGACTTTTACCTTGTTCAATGGGTACTCAATGACAACAACGTTTCTGAGTGAGCAATTCATATATTGTTTAGTAATTGCTGTGATTCATTTCCTTTTTTAAAATTGTATTTAAGAACCTCCAAGGTGACAACTGCGAAGAGTCCAGGATGAAAGCAAAGCTCATTACAGTAAGATCCAAATCAGACCAAACCAGTTGAAAACATGTTATTCTGTAATTGTATACATTCATTTACAAAGGGATAACACAAGGGCTAAGGAGATATCCGTAATCTCTAAGATAAACGGAATATATTCATCTTTGGACACATATCAGACTAAACGCTTGTTTGGGTTATTCAAGCAGCTTTGGATCTTTACTCTGCAGGTTGTGAAGTCAGATTCAACAAGTTGACAAAGTAAATATATCCTTTTTACCACCTAATACTTGGCTAATATGGTCTTAGACACTTCAATCTCAATAGAAATGTGATTATTACCACTGAAGTCTTTAATTTGGTCTTTAATACCCATGTTTGCAAACAATCACAGGCAGGAGGGATAGTCTTAAACTAGTTAATCAGGGGAGGCAATCATCCTAAATTGTCTAAAACTTTGATAGGATTAGCATCAGTTCAGGCCAGTGCTGGTGGGGCTATACAGCTAATAGCTTGAAATCCATCTAACACAGGATGAGATGTGATATAGCATGCTTATATCTAACACCTAGAATCCTATTACTACCTCAAGCTCTCCTCCATCCCTCCCTCCTACAGATGAAGAGTAAGAGGATGATGCTGAAGTCAATGGGGATGAGATGCTTAGAAGGGTTAATGTGGGGTGTCAATATCAAGAGGAAGACAGGTTACTAGGATGATGTGGTTTTGATTGTTCGCATGATACTAAATAGGTGAATTCATGGAAACTCCTAGGCACGCATATCATTTATGTCGGTCTCTCTCTCATTTTCTTTTTCAATGCCTATGAAGTATCTGTATCTGTCTCTTTATATCTAATATATCTGTTATAATCCTCTCTCCCTCCTCTCTCTCTTCTCTCTCTCTCTCTCTCTCTCTCTCTCCCTGTCTCTCTCTCTCTCCTCCCCTTTCTCTCTCTCTCTCTCTCTTTCTCTCTCTCTCTCCCTCTCTTTCTTTCTCTCTTTCTCTCTCTCTCTCTGCATCACCTAATTTGGGAAAGAGGTAATTTGTAATTTGACTATTTTGATCATTGACATTCAAGAAAATGTTAAAATTAAAATTGTGAATATTGATAGTGTGTGACTGTATCGGGATTCAGTACATGTACATGCAGATTGAAAGCAACCTAGTAGAGTACATCTAGTGATGTTTTGGGGTTAAGAACAAAACTTTTATCCAATCTTGGAAATTATTGGATCAAACTTTCAACGTAAAATGGTGTCTCCACCACAATGTGTTCACTAATTTAATCATTGGTCCTAAACCTGACAAAAAGGGTTCCATATACAAGGATTTGAAGTGGACTGTGAGAAGTCTTCAAGATCTGGACAAATAGCTTCCCTTGATTATAACACTAAGCTCCAAGTCTTTTTTCGCACAATGATGATTAGTAAGCCTTATGGGTGATATGTTACAGCACAATACAGGATCATCTGATTAAAACAGATAAGAAAAGATTTAGAAGAGAAAAGAAAGCACAAGAGAATCTTCTTATCTACTTAGTTCTATTCCACTATTTAAGGGATTGTTTGGATTCAAATGTCTATACAAAATAGCTTTACCTATTTGATGGATCTTGAAGGCAATTTATATTGTGGAGACAAGCCAAGGTATAAATCCAAACCAGTTTGATTTGGAATGCATGGTTGCAGTTAACAGTTACTCACACTCCTAATTTTTGGATTCTATTATACCACATCCTTCAAAAAAGACAGGAGGATTAGCCAATGATATCAGAATCTAACCAAATTTGAATGATACCGTAAAAAGAAGTCTATTCTGAAATGGCAAAGATTGTTTAGTGAAGTAAAAAATAGCCATAGTTCAAATATAAAGAGGAATCAGAACTTGAAGTAGAATACAGGAAGTGTAAATATTAGAACAAGATATATATCCGAGAGAAATTGAGTCTAAAAGCATCTGTATCATGTATTTCAGAAGATTATTCAAAAAAAAAGTTTGTGTCTAATAAAATGAAATCTTAAAATCTACCGTGAACTCTCTATGATATATTCCTAATGATTGAGACGAACAAGTTTTCAAGATTTCAAAGGATGCAATTTTTTTTCTCATTCAACTAACGGTCTATCTGGAACAAAATGCAGTGCAATTAAATCAGTAATAACTGTGCATTGGTTCTCAAATTTCAAAGGGGGTACCGCCGTCAATTGAAGTCTTAAATGTCATGACACCTATAGAAATGGTCAATGCCACAATAGTGGCTGGTCTAGATAAGCCCAGGTGTTGCCCATTGCAGGATGATTGACAAATTGACAAGCTGTTTCCGACATACCACATGAAAAACACCTCTCTGTTGACACACAGCCTACCGATGTGCGGCGGGTGATGCCAATTTTTCGCCAGTGTCACGATCGTTTGCAATAGTATCCTGGGTTTCTGACACTTAAGCACAATACGAAAGCGGATACATTTCCAGCGAGCGTGCAGTATTACAAACCAATGTTCTCGGCCAGTAAACTTCCATGAAATAATTGTCGAAAAATAATTGGTCAAATTGATTTCTCGCCTCATGAAAAAAAAATTAAAGCAAGTGAAAATGCAGGGTTTGAAATTTCATGCATAAGTTGTCCCCCCCCCCCCCTCTCTCTTCCCCAAGTTCTTTTAACATCCGTCTACTAATGCCAAAGTCTGAGATTTTCAAGGGGGCACTGTGTGAGAACACATGGGACCTTCCATGCCGTATGTACCCTGGGGCAAGTTTGGAAAGTGTTCACCTTTTACAAAGGTAATCCTCACTGTTCTTGTGTAGGCACACCAAGTTTTTAGCAAGAACAACCCTTGCATACAGACCCAAGTCACAGACACCGAGGAGAACTTTCTCTGGCTTCCACTGGGCCTTTCCCCCTTCCCCCCTTTCCCACTATCCGACCAATCCCACCGGCTCTGGCCTCAAAGTGACTACCTTTTCAACCGCAATGTCAGGAATATTTTTTAGCGATTGCTTTGAGCCATATTCTTTTCTTTTACTTTTATTGGCAGGAATGAATGAAACCCTTCACTCAGGGTGTAAACACAGGTGGTTGACACAATAGGACTCAACAATGAGTCAATTAATACACAAAATGTATCCGTCCCCCAAACGTAACCTTTGAAAGGCTTCTCTATGGCCATGTCCATGATAAATCACAACAATTTTACAGGCTTTCTTTTTCCCTTTTTTTCTGGCAAATACAAAATTGTGTGTTTGGTTCAATGTGAAAATGACATGAAGATGAGATTAATAAATCTGATCTATTTGTCTGCCGAAAAATAATGATAATAGCAATTTCTTTCTTATCCTTGCTCTGACTTTTCTTGTAAATATATTGGACAAGTTTCTCTCATTTTCGGCATTTATTTATTATTAACATGATGAAAGAGTGGAAGCTCTCTCTCTCTCTCTCTCTCTCAGATGAACTTATGTAACCATAGAAATAACTGGAAGACAATTGGAGAAGAGGAAATGGTATATAAGAAGAGATGATGGAGGAATTGTAAGATTTCCATTTTAAAAAAAAAATTTGACTAAAAACTAAGCAAAATAAAGTAATCTAAGGGGAAGGCTGTATAAGCATCAGACATACAAGGTTAGTTAATTGTGAGGGGGTGGTTTCTATTCTCAACGACCCCTTCCGCCCATTTTGTGGCTTCTCCGGTCATCTTCAACTTCCATTCTTCCCACACAATCTTGACTATCTCTGTCCACTAATGAAGGTACTTCTTAGCCTCCAATTCATGATACCGGTCCTATAACAGGGTCCTGATTGCCAATGTAAGTCCCTATTGTTCATACCCAGTGGGGGGATAGGGGGAAGGGGTCCTCTCCCAAATTGGAATTCTTTTCATTAAAGATGGGAGGAAATCCTGGTCTTGAACCTGAACAAAAGGCCAATCTCCTCTAGTGAAATAAGTCGGGATAGAAGAGAGCGACTTTGCTTTAATGGTCCCCAACCTCTTATGAGAGAGGAAGTAATTAATGTGTTTTATCAAATGGTCTCACTTGAAAAGCTTTCATAGATGTTCAGTGTTGGTTGTGCTGGTTAATTAGAGGTAGGTAGATCTAAAGTTGTTTTGGAAGCCACTCTCCTGCCCGAAACCAAAGAATTTATTTTCTGATGATATAAGATCTAGTTTGTCTTTGAATTGTATGCAAATCCTACACTAGAGCCCACATAATATGACTTAATATGACTGTATATCTTTTATAATCTCTGAAATGTTATACACTGCAAACACAAGTAAGATTTGCTTTTTAATGAATGCCTGCACAAGGTCAACTGGACTTCTTTTTGTTTTGCCTTGACATTTATTGTCTAAAAGAAAACACTCTAATTTTGCAAGAGGTCTTTTAAATGTTCATGCTGCAAAATAATTGAATCATGACACACAACACAACATTTTCACAATTTGCTAGTCTCTTGCTATGAAAATGGCCATGCTTAGCAATTTGCGAAAATATCTGGTTTACATTAATACTGCTTGTAGGAGGA